AATTTTCTTCCTAAATTATTATTTATTATAAATAATTGAAACTAAAAGTTTCTTAAAAAATGTTAAATATTCAAAATTTTAAAGAAAATAAACTAATTAATTATTAAGCATGTAAATCAACTATTATAAATTGTCCCAACTTAATTAATAATTTTGAACTTAATATTTAAGTATGCTTTGGTGAAAAAAATTATTGTGTATAATATTTTTATTAAATTTGAATAAGATTATCTTTTATAAGAAACATTTTTAATCTATATATAAAAATAAATTAATATTAAATAATCAGGATAATTTTAAAAAAATAGAATTCTATAAATTCAGACGTTATTCCAACTACCACTAAAAAAATGATAGTTAATAATTTAAAATAATATAAATTCTTAAAATAGGATAATTTTATTGAATAGCTGTATTTTAATGAAATGAATATTTCTAATAACTAACTTAAAACCCTAATAAATAGCATGTCAAACAAACACACTTTAAACTATAAGATGTGAAAATTTGATAATATTGCGTGGTCCTTCTCAGCTTTGAAGGAGAGACATAAGCATCGTAAAGATAGCAAGTGTAATAACAATCGCCACTGGCCTGTGGTGCCACGATTGTAAAGAAAAAATAACACTGGGGGACCTCACTCATTGTTTTCTCAGCAACCAAACAATCGAAACAAGTTCATAAATTTTAAGAAATGTACATGTCCCTCATAGACAGTTTGTTTTTCTCCTTTTCACTGTCATTTTTGTTCAAAGGGATCTGTCGGCAAGTACGCATGGAGAATCCTAAATCGCAAATGTAATTTCCATCATTGCTTTTCTTTCTAATTAACGATCGTATTTGTAGATTTTGTTTAAATCGTTTTTCCTTCTTTTTCCAGCTTTCTTATTTTCTTTCAGATAAAAATGTACTCTTACTTCTTTATTTATTAATAATTTTAAATATCTTACATCACACTTACAAAAAAGGAATTATAACCTTGCCTTCACAGTATATTTATATATAATTCAATGCTCTATTCCTAAGCATACAAAAAAATGTTATTCTTTATAAGTTTAACATTATTACTCAGAACAATGGACTGTACCCATTTGGATACGAACAAATAAGAAAACGTTTTGGTTTTACTGATTTTTACGATACATAACCTTCATCTTCTCATATTTTGAATTTATTTGTAATGTATTAAATGTGTAATTTACATTATCATTTAATTATACTATATTATTAAAATTTATTAATTTCTTTATATAATTATTTTAAGTTTAAATATGAGTTTAATCTTCACGTTTTAATAATTTTTTTATATTTTAATTTCTACTTTTCATAAATTTTTTGTCTCTATTATTAATTTGTTTTACTAAAATGCTTTTGAATGCAAATTTTTAGTTGAATTATGTTAATTTAAGAGACTAAAATAATAATTTGTTAAAATTAAAATAAAAAATATACATTTAAAAGTACTAAAATAAAATATATTAAGATGTAAAGACTAAAAATATATATAATTTGTTATTTTAAAAGTTTTACCTTATAACAGTCTCAAATTTTCATTGAAAGTTACAAGATATCAACATATTTAATATATTAATAATATTAAATATTATAATATTTAATAAGTTTTATTATTTTTAAATTTTTTATTACATATTTTTAGACATATGTTAAAAAATTATTAATTATTTTATTTATTCATAAGAAAAAACAAATCTTAATTATTGAAAATATAAATATAAATAAAACATGTATTTTTAATGCTATTATAAAATAAAATTAAAAATAATAATGTGTAAAAAGTATGAAGAGATAAAATATAAAAGCTTTTAACTAATTATTTTTTATTTGTATTTAAAAATACATAATAAAATATTAATTTTTTTAAATTTGTGATATTTAATATCATTCATATATTAAAATTTACCATATCATATATATTTTTTAAAAAATGACTGCGTATAAGTTCTTATGCACTTTTAGAACTTTATGATGAGATATGATAAAAAGAAATTGTTTAATTAATAGGCAGTGATTGAAGCAACATTCCAAACCTAAATGACCCGGATTCCTATATGCCGGCAGCATAGATGTGAGAGAAGATTACAAGCCATCCTCTGAAACTCATAAAACAATGGCTGATCCCTCAAATCGTGGCTTTCAAGATGTCTCTGAACCACAAAGTTCCCTGTATTGCTACACATAATGCCATATTTAATATGCCAAACTGCATCTTGTTAGTGCTTTATGATGCTAACGATGACGAGTTTCGTTCATTATCAAATTTTGAAGTTTTTAAATTTTTAGTGTATCTAAGGCAATGATTGGTACGCGTATTATGTTGAGCTAATATCTCGTCAAAGACACAAAAAACATAGGAAACATAAATTTAAAGAATACCAATATACTTCCTAAAAAAAACAATGTTTTAGTTCTAGAAACACAAAAGGTAAACTTATAAAAACAAAAAAAAAAAATATTAGTGTCTTCGTTTTCAGTATCTAGGATAACTAAACGCTACCTAAGAGTTTAGATTTAATTAGTTTTTTAAAAATAAAAAATATAATATATTAATAGTTTTAAATATTATAATTTTTAATAAAACATTTTTAATTATACATCATTTAACACACATTAAAAGAACTGATAAAAATTAAATTTACACGCCATCACATGAGATTTATCTAATATCGCATTTTATTTATATCATTTAATTTTAAAAAAATATTAAAATAAAATTTATCTTCAAATAAATAAATATTTATAAAGTGTTTATTTAATATAAAGTTGAATGAAATTAATGTTTAAATATGATTAATCTATAATTTTACTAAAGCGTGACTTTTATGAATTAACAAGTCAAAACTTTATTTTTTTCAACTCTTAAATAAACAAGTCCTAAGTATCTTTTTTCACTGAATTCGAGTAATTACCAAAACTTCGTTAAGAGTAATTTTAAGAAAAATATTTTTACTTTTGAGGTGCTATGTACATTAAGAGAGAAATAATACATTCATTTTTTGACTCTCATAAAACGTGTCAATTATTCTTCGAGTTCAAATGGATCATCCATTAACCGAAGAAAATCCTAACCCTTCTAGTACAGCCTAAAAGTGGAAGGAGCAAAGGTGTTAAAGCTTTTTTGGTTTGTAAATGCTCAAGTATTTGTTTTGTATATATAAAAGTTTAATTAGAGATTGGATTTAGTTCCGTATAACAAAAAAGAGATTGGATGTTGTTTTAGTAAGCAAATAAAAAAACGAATTATTATAATTCACTCCATCTGACAAAATAATTGAAAAACCGCAGACCCATCTCACACATGATGGAGCTCTTATTATCTAACCTTATCGATCAAAATCCCTTTTGTGGGGGAAGTATATGTGGGTTACTTCTTGATGATCATAATTTGCATGGGTTTGTCTAGTGGGTAGAGAGCTTCATGTCCCTTCATGGGGACCATGTGGTTGATGTAATAAGTCATTGTGCACTTCATTATACTCTCTTGCACGTGGGTCAGTGTTAATCTTGCTCGGGTACCTTCTAAGAAGTTTCGTAAACTCTTCAGTTTTTTCGATAACTAATTATTATAAGTATGTTTGACAATGAAAATGGAATGGCTTCATGATTTTCATGTCACTTCTTATAAATACCAAAACAATCAAGAAGGCAAAATCGGCTTTTTACTCTTTTGTGTAATAACACCCCTATAATTAGAATTCTAGCTATACAGCTGTGAGATTCAATTTTTCATTTAACAATAATGTGCATTCATTCTAAATTTGCATCTATCTATATAGCAAGTAGCTAATTTGATGTGTGTCTCATCTCATTCTGCTTTACCAAAAAAAATTCTGAGAATCGATAAAATCATCAGAATTTTATATAGTAAATAAATATCCAATATAATAACAGGTCACATACTCTACTAATTATAGGTCAGAGCTTAGAGATAAACTTTTGCCATTTTTTTTTATACTGTGGGCCAAAACAATACACATGCACGTCACTTGAAAGAATGGAGAGACAGCCAGAGAGTAGAAAAGTCAGTACATGGCTGCATGCTTTCCTCTCTAACCTTTCGGTAGTATGCTAGTGGTTCATAGCATCATAGACAACAGAGTGTTACACGCGTATTGAGTGCTTCAATCTCCCCTGACTACTTTGTCATGTATAGTCTCTCAAGTTTGAGGGCACATGTGTGGCATGCACTATGCAGCTTGCATCATAGTCTCCAAGAAATGCCAACGAATTTTGACTCCCATAACATGGAACTTAGATCTAACATGTTAGAAAGTAGTGGGTTATTAAAATGTTGCTTTTGGGAGGAAAATAATGCCCAATCTTCTCTAATTCATATAATATTATGCCATTCTCTTTAAAATGCCAACTTGAGTTTATGCTTTAAAAAACAAATGAAATATTCATATGGAAACCAAAAAATAAAAGTTGAATTAATGACTAAAGTTTTGTCAAAATATATTTATTTTAAATTTTGATAAAATTAATTTTAATATAACTACTTTTAATTGTTAAACATAATTAAACCGTTTGTTCAAATTAATCTCAATCATAAATTTGTATTATTTTTATTTTTATTAAAAAGTGTGGTAAATAACACAAACCCAAGTAGGAACTTAATTTCCATGATTCCTTGTTGCACTTTAATTCTTATCTTTTTTTTTTTTTCAAACAGATTCAATTAGGATTAACATTTTTCCTCTGGCCTCCATGAGGGATTTAAATTTTTCTGGGGGCAAAATATTGTTTGTTTTAGCTCAAGTTATGAAGTTCTTTTTATCCTATTCATGTTACCACTTTTAATCAAAGAAATAGAAAAAATTATGCCAAAACTTGCCCCACCCAAAGTATTAATGTAGAGAGAGAGGGATAAGAAAGGTTGTGAGATACCAAAATATATCCACATTTATTTCTTCTCCCCACATCCTTCTCTCCTTTTAGATTCTCACCCGATACCCCTCCCTCTCTGCTCCCTCTTCCCCCCTCCATTAATCTCCCTTCCTCGAAACCATCACCACCTCTATCTCTCTCTACTTCTTCCTCTACAATAAGTTTCTCTATATATACCATACCACAAATCATCATACAACATAATATTCGTACATACTTACATAGTACACTAGACACTAGTCATTGTGTCTTAATTTCCCTTTTTAATTATTCCATGGCTTCCACCATCACACTACTCTTCTTTCTCATCATATTCCCCCTCCTTCTCTTCCTATACCGCCGATCTCGCTACCGCCGTCTCCGGTTACCGCCGGGGAGCTTAGGCCTTCCCTTTGTCGGCGAGACCCTTCAACTCATATCCGCTTACAAGACTGACAACCCAGAACCCTTCATCGACCACCGAGTTAACCGCTACGGTCTAATCTTCACCACCCACATCTTCGGCGAGCCCACCGTCTTCTCCGCCGACCCGGAAACGAACCGGTTCATTATTCTGAACGAAGGGAAACTGTTCGAATGCAGTTACCCCGGTTCGATATCGAACCTCCTTGGAAAACACTCTCTACTCCTCATGAAGGGTACTCTTCACAAGAGAATGCACTCACTCACCATGAGCTTCGCCAACTCCTCCATCATCAAGAACCATCTCCTCCTCGACATAGACCGTCTCATACGCCTCAACTTGGATTCCTGGACCAACTGCGTTTTTCTCATGGAAGAAGCCAAAAAGGTTAGGTGCCACTAATTTTATTTGAGAAATGCTATTGCCATTAATATATTTTTTTATTGTTTGTTAAAATTTATATTAAAAAATGTGTTAATCAGTGTATTATTAACATTTTATTTTTTATTTTTATTTTTCAACGTTATAGATCATGGAGTAAAAGGTTTAAGATATATTACTATTTACGATTCGTAGCTGCTTCTGACTTGAGAAATTTTGCATTATTCATCATATTTATAAAAAAAAAATTGTACCATATATTATTTTTATCTTTCGTAAGAAGCAATTTTCCTAAATAGCAAGTGTGATTTTTGAAAGAGTATATGCAAGATGACCCTAACTTGATTCGACTTTCCCAAAAATAAATCAGTGAGTCGAATAGGCTTTGGATCGCTCGAGTCGAGCTCACTTGCCATCATCATGTCATAAATCATATTAGGGAGGTGGTGGACCAGTTGTTAGCACCTCATAATGTTATCTGGATTTTGTTTGTTTTATTTATTTAGTTCAAAGTTCGTCAGGAATAGTGTCTGTATTTTTCGGCTTTTCGTTTTGAACTCATACTATTTAATTCGAATGATGTTGGGTATTTTAGTACTAAAAAGGTTTATTATTTGGTTATTTAATATCAATTGATGTTAGCATTTGAGTGTGATTTTACGTGACGGAAATGGAACTGGAGTTGGTGACTCAGATTCCATGGTTTAGTATAATGTGTCCAATTCCGTCCAAACGAGACCCCACGTTAACTAAAATGGAATTATGGAAGAATAATAATCATTCCCTGAATAAACTATAGGTTAGCAAGCACATGTATCTATTTGTAGTATGTGTGAACATGTTATTGTATACACGATCGATAAAAATGAGTTTTTATTTTCTTTTAATATACTTAATTTTGTTTTTTAATTTTAAATTTTAGAATAAATTTTATGATGACATATATTTACAGTTTCTAAATTTTTAAAAATTATAAATACCAAATCGTACCAAAAAAAATTAAATTAAAAGACTTACAAGTGCATGCGCGGACATGTATACTATATATATATAACAAAAATATTAGTATTTTTATTACTTAAAAATATTAAAACTTAAAATTTTAAAGTTAATGCATTTTTTTTTATTTACCTATATACTACCCCTTAAAATCACTAGATAAATGGAACTTTACATTTAAAATAATGTTACTTACTATTTCTCTAAAATGTTAATAAAGAGAAAAACTTCCTTTCTCCTTTTCTAATACTTCTATTTTATTATATTTTATTTTTTCCTTCAAATTAAAGTATGAAGTTATTATGTAGCGATGATGGTGGGTATTACGGATGTTTGTTTTACAAAAGCTTTGCCTTTTTGCTGTGTTACTTGCAGATAACGTTTGAGTTGACAGTGAAGCAGCTAATGAGCTTTGATCCAGGAGAATGGACTGAGACTCTTAGAAAAGAGTACGTTCTTGTAATCGAAGGATTTTTCACACTCCCCTTACCTCTCTTTTCTACTACCTACCGTAGAGCCATCAAGGTACGGGCATGATCTTAATCTCTTCAATTTCTCTCTTACTTTGTTTTCCTGTTCCTTGTGCATATTAAATTATTATAATATTATACACTTAAACATCATAAAAATTAAGGGAATGTTTAATTATGTAGGCAAGAACGAAGGTGGCAGAGGCATTAACATTGATAGTGAGGCAGAGAAGAAACGAAAGCGTGATGGGGGAGAGAAAGAATGACATGCTAGGAGCATTGTTAACCTCCGGCTACCACTTTTCCGACGAGCAAATAGTGGATTTTATGTTGGCTTTGCTCGTCGCCGGCTATGAAACCACCTCTACCATTATGACTCTTGCCGTCAAGTTCCTCACCGAGACTCCTCTAGCATTGGCACAGCTCAAGGTACCAAAATGTACTGTATTGTTTGGTTACATGTCTTACATATTTTTATATTTCTTAACTAATATATCTAATGACAAATGAATATAAACGTGGGGAAAATAGTTGTTATATATAATACACGATGGAATATATGTACTTAATAAAAGATAAGAAGAAACAAAAATAAAATGAGTGATTTCATAGATAAAAAAACATGAAGGAGATCATAAAAGTGGAGCCATGAAAACACTGTACAGATACAGGTGTCTAAAAATCTAAATGTTTATAGCTAGGGTAGTGGACCAAATAGATGTAGCTCCTTCCTTAGAATTACCCCACCAACGTGTGCATGTCCATGTCTGTGACCATCGTTCATGTGGTGTGGTCTCCTTTGAAACCTCATTTTCGTCGTCTCATACTCTCCACTTCACCCACCCTAGATTGACCTATCTTTCTTTTCCCGCCCTCACATTTATCTGTTTTGGAAAGCGTAGTTATAACCAAAAAATAAGTTAACAGGTTAATTTATTTTTTCATGGTATGTTAAGCGACATATAAAATGATTTTTTATCAAAAATTTAATATAGTAAAAGTTACACAATAATTTAAATACTGTAATTTTATTATTTATTAATTTTTTATCACGTATCTTTTAACTTACGTGAAAAAATCGTTTCTTAATGTAAAAATATCCAATCTAAATTGCTATTTATTTTTTAAAAAATTAGACAAAGGTTTCTCTTTTATGGTGAGAGAGGGGCAAGACAAAGAAATGGGTGGTTTTGTAGTTTTCTGCACGTGTAAGAGTTTTCAATGGAAATTGAAACTTGCAGTTAAAGCCTGTCCCCGTAAACCTTCCAACGCAGTTAATACGGTTGAAAACTTGAAACTCATGCATTGGCTTGGACAGAACAATCATCAGAGGCCACTGTGGAGGATAGGTGTCCTGTTAGGGGGATTATTTAGATAACTTCAGTATTAATTAAAGCTACATATTATTTTCTTTTATGTAATAATGCTACATAATTAATCATTACCACTAATTATAAGTCTTGTTTAATAACGCTAGAATTTAGAAAATAATTACCTTTTCTATGAAATATTTTTTTATTTTATTTTATGAAACTAGTAATAAAATAATTATTTTAAAAATAAAGCTGAAAATACGTGATAAGATATATTCATTCACAGAGCTCCGTAAGCCACGCTTCGCCACAAACATCAATATGAATAAACAGTAAATCGTACAAGGAAATTATATAAAGAATTATGAGCAATTTTTTATTTAAAAATATTATAATATATGGTCCATAAGTTTAATGCTTTTTATATATAATTTTTTTATAATACTTAATGGTACTGAAAACTTTTAAGATAATTTTATAAAAATGTTTTCAATTCTTTTTTTTTTTTTAAATAAGGGTGAGTTTATAGATAAATTTTATGATATCAATTATGTAAGTTAGGTAGCCATGGGTTTCTACGTACCTTAGGAAAAAAAGATAGAGAAATATCCTATGAAAGCATTTTTAAACCCTGAAAGATCTTGAGGAAGTTGATGTTTCCTTACCTTACATTGTGATTGGTGGTTCAACTTTCAACTTAATGGTCTGTTTGATTTTTCGTGGAAAATATTTAAAGCTTAATTTGGACAGAAGTTATAAACGACAAAATTTTAAACCTTTTATTCCAAATTGATTGACATCTAATATTTTTATGCAAAGATTAAAGAAAGCGATAAAATTTAATCAATAGAACGATTTTACTAATTAATTTAACTTTACTATTTGTTCTCTCTCTCTCTCTCTCTCTCTTGAAAAACTGGGTCATAAAATACTCAAAAATATTATATTCATTATTTATTTGTGAAAGAATTAGAGTAAAAATTTAATTTAATTGAAATCTGAAAATATCACTTAATTAATATATAATATTTTTTTTATTTAACTTAGTGTCCTAAGGTCATTAATTAAAAAATAAAACATAGATTACGTTTAGAATATTATAAATTCTGGTGAAAATGTATTTATAGTATTTTTCTTTAATTTTTTAGTTGGTGTTCTTAAGACATTAGTTAATATTTGTCTTCAAATAATAATTTAAAGCTTAAAATTGAAAAACTAATCATACACTAATTAAATTATGTTCTTTTGTTGAGAAAAATGAATTGATAAGCTCAAATATAGTTTTACTTCATATACTTTCAATATGGATAAGAAGATTTTGTATAAGATATGGATAAGGAGATTTTGCATAAGGTGTTAATGATTTATTTATTTATAATCAGTACACACTAATTAACTAATAATATCTTAATAAAATTATGTAGGATCCACATTTTATAAACCAAAATATAAAGACATGTCAAAGTTTAAGAGACTATTAAGGTTGTAAACCAAGCCGAATTTGTGTAACCACTAGACAATATTAGTAGCCCCAAACTCCACCCTTTGTAGTTTTGCTGACCAAACTTCAGAGAAAAATAACTAGAAAATTAAATTAAAAAAGTTTTAAAAAAATAAATAAATATATAAAAAATGAGAGAAGAAAGATCATGATCTTATCACACCTTGGTGTTTTGGCCGGACCATTGCCAAGTGTATGAGGAATTATTGGATGGTCCAACTACCATGTGTTTATAATTTCTGCTAATCATTACCTGACATGTGGCCATATTTTTAAGTAATTAATGAAACAATTAAAATTCTACAATGTCGCATAAGTTGAGTAAGACTGAGCATGCGAGGCTAATGCACATGTTTTGGTAAACATAAGGGTTTATGAGTCATTTCACAAGTACTTGGTATGTGGAAAATTGGTTGTGTTTTATTGCAGCACAGAGTTATTTCTTGGGTCCCCTCCCATTGCATGAGAAATAGCGTTGTGATGATTTCGAGGATCATTTATGATCAAATGGTGCAAATTAAGTGAAAGACGTTTGTATCACTGATTTGGTCCCATTGTTTGCTGAGCATAGATTTGTCCCTATCCTTCACTTTGTTCCTTGGACCTATTTTTGGGTTTTGCACAACTTCAATTACTATACTAGCATGCAGAGTAATTTTGCATCACAACACAAAAAAATGTTTGACACAAATAAAATCCGAACATTTTTTTGTGTGTGTGTAATTAATAATTTCATTAATTGATTACAGCAAGTTGTTGTCAATTATTATTATAAAGTACAATTTATGCTCCACACTAGGGAGTTTGATTGGAGAGTTCTTCGGTTTGTGTTGTTTTGGTAGGAAGAACATGATCAAATCAGAGCCAAGAAGAGTTACTCAGAGGCACCTCTGGAGTGGACAGATTATAAGTCAATGGCATTTACTCAATGCGTAAGAATATTTAAATTCTGATTCAGTAACATCATAAATCATTACACATGCAGAAGGCAAAGGTTAGATATATACAGCATTGCAACTTTACACAGCTAAGAAGATATATACAACAAATTTTTATTAGAAAATATAACATTTAGTAGTATCAATGTATTTAATTACATTAAATTTTGTAATTTTTATTAAAAGATTATTATATTTAACTTTTTATCTCATGCAATGTTGCCAGGTTACAAAGAATAGTTAAATTTATCATCATTATTAATCTAATATATTATCCTTATCCTCTATCTTTCCCCTTTTTACTGGCCTGTGCTATATGTAGGTTGTGAATGAGACTTTGAGGATGGCAAACATAATTGGTGGGATATTTAGGAGAGCAATGACAGACATTAACATAAAAGGTGATAACCAAAAATTAAAGTATTAACTATCACCAATTATATTGATAGGAAAATTAAACCATAATTTAAAATGCCAAAAAAAAGTGTTAATTCATCGGTTGTAATAGGTTACACTATTCCAAAGGGATGGAAGGTCTTTGCTTCATTTCGTGCTGTACATCTAAACCCTGATCATTTCAAAGAAGCCCGCACCTTCAATCCATGGAGATGGCAGGTAAATAACTCTATTACTTCATCTTTATCATTGCTCTATGTTCAATCATTCATAGATTTCAATGTGACACTTGCTTACTTTACTTATGATTCAAATTGCAGAGTAACGCAGAAGCAACTAGCCCTGGGAATGTATATACCCCATTTGGAGGAGGGCCACGACTCTGCCCTGGCTATGAGCTTGCTAGGGTGGTGCTCTCTGTCTTCCTTCACCGCATTGTTACCCGTTATAGGTACATCATAAAATTAAAGTATTTATAAACGTAAGATCTTATTAGTCAGTCTTAAGGGTATTAGTTAAGGAACTAATAAATATAAAACAACTTTTATTGGAAATCATGATAACGAGAATTCATTAGCAATGTTTTTAATATATTTTTTTTACTTTTAAATTCTTAACCAATATCCCGATTAGCATTTGTCAAAAACTTAACTCATTTTAAATCATGTCTTGATTTTCTTACTTTATACCTCATTTTTGCATTGCGGAGCACAGTTGTTGTATTCCTAATAATTTTGTTTCAATTTTATGGCAGTTGGTTTCCAGCAGAAGAGGATAAATTGGTGTTTTTCCCAACCACTAGGACGCAGAAGAGGTATCCTATAATAGTGAAGCGTAGAGAGGAGTCCATACCAAGTAAATTGCCATGACAGCACAACATAGTAAAGGGCAAAGAAGAGGAAACAGAGATTGTAGATGAGTTTAGTCAGTTTAATGTCCATTATATTAAGCAATAAAGCTATAATCACTAGTTTAGCAGTTTATATATGTTTTTTTTAGGAGTTATAGGGATGTCTTTGTAGACCACAGGGGAATGGGAAATGTGGATGTGAAATTCTCGTTATAATTGAGCTAAATCCACCAGTGTATATTATCTTAATTCTTACAAATCCTTCACGTATATCATAATAAATCATTATTAAAAAATAAAGGTCATGGCGTTAGAATTCTGTCTTGTTTAGAGCAAATTAGAGGATTAAAACTGAGACAATAATATGTAAATAAAAATGTAAGCCACAAATGTGAAGTCAAGACACAGCATAAAAGAGGACATATCCTTGTACAATTGTAACTGAATTTTTTTACAGAAAATTGAGGGGAGAATCACACAGAACGAGGTATAATAAGACTACAACAGTCGCAGCAAGATGAAACGCCATAATGAATCACATACTTAGAAATGGCACATCAAGATTACTGGATCGATAATGATCAATTATATGAAAAGTTATTAACAATATAAGACTTTAGTGTAACTTGTAGTGGGTACAAGTTCATTCCTACTCATTTTCTTACTTTCAATTTCTATAAAGAATTGTAGGTTTCTCTTTCTCTAATACACAACTATCGCAACAATTCTCCTTCATTTTCTCTATACCAATCACTTGATTGGCTTCTAATGGTATAACTTACTAACTTGTTTAGCAACCCCTCCTCAAGAAAATCACTCACATATATAGATGCTGTGAGTGATTAAAAGTTGTTTCTTTAGTAAAAAGAATATTGAACGTTATTAATGTATTTTTTTTACTGTGATTTTAAAAAAAAAAAAAAACATTTTCTTTATTGATTTATAAAGCTTTGTTAGTTAAAGATAATTGGTTACTATTGGACAAAATTGAAATTGTATAGCAGATAGGGTTTCAAATTAAAAAAATGGATGTAAACCTTCTCTTGATGTCAAATACAAGCAATGAAAGCAAAGAAAAATAAAGTAAAGATATAGTATCTTCTATAAGAACCATCTTAACAAAATTCAGGTAAGCCTAATTGCTTAAAATTGGGGACAGTCAAGCAACCAGGAATGGCTGTTGAGGGATTTGGGGTACTTTGAATGAGATCGTAGAATAATTCTTATTCACGGTTTCCATATCTTTTGGATACTGTTGTTCGTGTTAATTACAACAGTTGTATCGAATAGACAGCATTTGAATCATTGAAAAAAAATTGAGCATAATAGTCAACAAAACAATCAGTAGAAACGATAGTTTCAAATGCTCAAATAATTTGAACTTATACAAATTGAATTCATAGGAAAATTGTGGCCTGATCCACACATTTTGATAACAGTTGCACGTTTAATATTGATTATCTTGCAATTTTATTTTACTTTTCTTATGTCGTTTCATGATTATTATTTTTTTGAGAAAGTGATAATTATTTTAATTTTCTATTTTATAAAATAATATTTATTTTAGTTTTTTTTTATATAAAATGACGACAAAAAAATTGAAATAAAAATAGATTAAAACGAGCAATTTTAAAAAAAAATTAAGGACTAAAGTAAATTTTTTATAAAATTGAGAACTAAATTTATTTATGTATATAATTTTAATGGCTAAAATAGTATTTACTCGTTTTTCAGTTGATGCTTTCAGTTCAAATTAGGGATGACAATGGGTAAAGTACCCGATGGGTACCCGCAAAATCTACCCTCAACGGGTAGGGTATTTACCCGCTACACGGGTATGGGTATGGGTATGGGGAAATACCCGCAAATTTCCATGGGGATGAGGGCGGGTATGGGTACCTAAGTACCTACCCCGCCCCATACCTGCATATACTATTATTATTATTATTATTATTATTATTATTATGCTACTTATGTGAGGGAGGCCTTAACCCAAAAGCCCATAATGGGAAGGAATTAGGGTTAATACTTTATGTTACTCAAGGCTAGGTCTCTTTTATAATCATTGATAATTATATAATTATATGAGTTGCTCCACAATTTGCCTATCGAGAGTTGTGCTTTAGGAGTGTAACTTACAGAAAGATCTCACCATCACTTCTTATAGAATTCAGAGATCAAGTACAACAAATTTTGCAAGTCTTCAACAAGTAAGCTTAAAACTCTATTATAATTATTATTGATATTTCTAATTCTTTTTTATTGTTCTAATTTCATATATTATAGTTTGAATAATTTTTTACTTATAATGGAGGAACTAATAATTTAAGAAAACAAGAATCTAACCTACTTTTATATTTTAGAAAGTTTTTGTGGATGCTTTTGTAAAATTTTGGTCAAGATAAAGATTTTACTATTTATTTTATATAATTTCATGTCTTATATTTTTTCTCAGTTCAGACTTCTTTTATAGGTCATATTTATTTTATTTTATAATACTATATTTTCAAAAAAATTTCTATGCAAAATAAAAGGTTGAGAAATTTAATATAAATATTTATGTTACTCAAATAAAAGAATGCATATTTAAATATATAAAAATCTATCTAATTAAATTTATTTTATAAGATTAACATAAAAATATATTTATCAATAAAGTAAACCATAAAAATAATTTTTTTTCATATTTTTAATAGAAAAATTTATTTACTATTTTATATCGTTTAACTAGACTAATACAATTTAATTATTATATAGTTGATATGCGATTAATTTTTTTTAAAAAATTATTTCTATATGAAACATACAAAATGTTTAGAAATTTAGTGATTAAAATTATGTGATATTATATTGACTTGGGTTAAATAAAATTTTTTATTTAAGTTCTTGCTTTTATATAGGTAATAACAAATGGAAAATGTACGTGAAATAACTCCTTCAAAGGAATCTGAAAGTAGCTCTTCTCCAATTATTTTCATTACTCCCACACAACCTGAAAATGTTCCTAAAAGTACACTTAATGATTCTGGACCGAGTGACAATTCTGATATTAGAGATCAATCTCAATCCCAGTCTGATACACTTCCTATTTCGGTGGATGGAGATGATTGTGATGCAACTCATGATGAAAAAAAAAGGTGGATGGAGATGATAGATGTCGATTGTATGGAATCACTTTAAGAAAAAAATTATTAATGGGGAAGAAAAAGCTATATGCAATTATTGTAACAAGCAACTGACAGGTAGAAGATCAGATGGAACAAATCATTTGCATAAACACTTTCAAACTTGTAAGAGGAGGTCATATAAGGATATAAGACAATCAATCTTATTGAGAGAACAAAAGAAAGTAGACGGATCATCCACTTATTTGAGTAATTATCACTTTGATCCAGAACAATCTAGAAGAGATCTTGCTTCTATGATAATAATTCATGAGTATTCGCTTTCTATAGTAGACCATTTGGGGTTTAGAGCATATTCTGAAGGCCTCCAGCCTTTATTCAAGGTTCCTAGTCGGAACACAATAAAAGGTGACATTATCAAAATATATCTGAATGAAAAGTTGAAGACTATGGGACTCTTAAAGAAGATTGGAAGTAAAATTGCTTTAACAACAGACATGTGGACAACTAGCAATCAAAAGAAAGGGTTTATGACTATCACAGCTCATTACATTACTGATGATTGGGATATGCAAAGTCGCATATTGAGGTATAATTTTTGTGATCATTATATGATATATTCATTTAGTAATTATTTGCATTATTTCAATTTTTTATATATGTATATAATTTATTTTTACATTAATAGGTTTGTATATGTGGAATGTCCACATACAGCAGAAGCTCTGTCTAAAGTATTAGTTGAATGCATGCTAGATTGGAATATTGATAGAAAGTTATCTACCATCACTTTGGATAATTGTAGTACAAATGATTCTCTTGTTGGTTTGTTACTAAACAAACTTGATTGTTCTTCTCTTATGCTTGATGGTCAATTGTTTCATATGAGGTGTTGTGCACATATTCTCAATTTAATTGCTCAAGATGGTTTAAATATTCTTGGAGATGGTATAGAGAAGGTTAGAAGTAGTGTTGCTTTTTGGACAGCTACACCTAAAAGAGAACAAACCTTTAAGGAAGCAGCACGTCAAATCAAAGTTTCCATTACAAGGAAACTTGTACTTGATTGTAAAACAAGATGGAATTCTACTTATCACATGCTTGTTGTTGCATTGGCTTATAAAGATGTTTTTATTTGTTTGAAAACAAGAGAGCATATGTATACGTGTATCCCTACAACAAATGACTGGGAAATTGCTAAAGAAATTTGTAGTAGGTTGGAAGTCTTTAATCGTGTGACTGAGATGTTTTCTGGGACACAATATCCTACAACAAATATTTTCTTCCCATTGGTTTGTGAAATAAAGTTATCTCTGCAATAATGGCAAATTTGTTCAATTGAGGCTATTAGAAATATGGCTACAAAAATGGTAACCAAATTTGAGAAATATTGGTCTGTTATACATGAAATCATGGGAATTGCCATTTTTTTGGATCCAAGATATAAATTAAAGTTGTTAGAGTACTTCTTTCCCAAGCTCTATGGAAGTTCATCTTCTTTTCAAATTAACAATGTGAAAAAATTATGCTACTTGTTGTTTGAAGATTATTAAGCTAAAGCCATGGGAATAGTAGAAAGTTCAACTGAAAAGTCTAATGAGACGGAAATGAATTTGGATATACTTAATGTTAACAATTTTTTAAGTGATTATGATTCATTTGTTAAAGATACAAATGATATGCAATCAAAGTCTGAGTTGGATATCTACTTGGAAGAGAAGGTATTGCCTAGAAGTGCTAGTTTTGATATCCTTGGGTGGTGGAAATCAAATGGGATCAAATATCCAATATTGCAAAAAATTGCCAAGGATATTTTGGCCATCCCAATTTCAACCGTTGCTTCAGAGTCTGCTTTTAGCACATGAGGTAGATTGTTGAGTCCTCATCGTTCTCGACTCCATGAAGATACTTTAGAAGCACTCATGTGCGCACAAAGTTGGCTGAAACATGAAAATGAAAGTATTGAATACTCTATTAATATATTTATTTAATTAAATATTTTTGTTAATTTTAATTTGATAGCTTAATTATTGATTTTCTTATTATGTACTTGTATGTTTTAGTTTCTATTGGTATTACTGGACCAAAGCAATATGTAAACTTGAAAGATAAACATTTACAGTCATTTGGAGAGTCTGATTCTGATGAAGAGGTAAAATAGCCTAACTATACTATTTTGACTTTATAATAAATAATTAACTAATGCTATTTTTTTAGGTCTTGCAGAGTGACAATACAGGAATATAAAAGTTTAGGAGTTGGTTGTTTTACAAGATCTTGAAGATTATGTGTGTAATTTTGTTTGATTTTTAAGTACTTTAGTTTAGAAAATTGATGTCTTAAGATACACTCAACACTTATGATCTTTGAATATTTATTTTGTATTTATACTTAAACTTTGTTCGGTAAAATTATATAAGCATATTTTTTTTATAACTGCTTTTTTTTCTTAGACATGCGCGGGTAATAGGGGCGGGTATGGGTATGCGGGTACCCAGAGGGTACGGGTACGGGGACTAAAAGTACTACCCATGCGGGTATGGGGCTGGGTACGGGTATTTTTTTAAAATGCGAGTATGGGGATGGGTACTATAGTACCCTACCCATACCCTACTCATTGCCATCCCTAGTTCAAATGAGCTGGTGAGATTATTTTGGTTTGAAGTTAGCAATATTTTGACATAGTTATGGGGTTAAGCCTCCATTATTTTGGGCCTTACGCAAGATTAGCCCAATGTATTCATTTGTAAATGCTTAATTTTTTTTCTTTGTATAATATAGTATTTGAGTTATATAATTCGTCCAAATTATCATCATATCTCACTATTGGTCTAATATTATTGGCATTAAATTAAATGAGTTTGACAAATTAATTTCTATAAAAATGAAAAAGAATATTAAACAAAAATTGTGTTAATTAATGTTATTATTTAGTGCACTAAAATCAACTTTATTTTATCTGTAATCACTTTAATACTCAATTTAATATAACACCCAAAAATATAAGGAATCTGATCTCATACACTTATCAAAAGACGCAATCTCTCTTTTCTCCTCACCATATGTAAACGAAATGTCATACCCGCAGTGCATGTATAAAACTTTAAGTCTTAGATAATTTAAATTCCTTGACCTTGAATAATTGAACAGTGGTTTAGTGCTACAAATAATTAATTAAATTCATACTTTCACTTGCCTTAGGCCAGTGAGAAAATACGATCTATTCATCTTTTACATGTACAAGAAGATACTCAAGAAGCAAGGGGGAAAACAACTTAAGAAAAACAATGGAAAATGAAAAAGTTGTATGTTACACATATAATCGCCAAAGAGTAGCTCTATAGTGTATGTGTATATATATACCTACTATGCACAACTTACTGAGTTAATTTAAGTTATAACCTTGCAGCTCTAACTCGTTTGTATCCATGTTAGGTGTCAGGTATGCATTGGGTAAACGTGTATATACAAGGAGAATAAGAGTAGCACTTTAGGTTTTGTTTTGAAAAATCACTGTTTACTATATATTCAGTGGAAATAATACCTTTTTTTTTCCCCCTTTAAAGGGTAAATTACCTTAGCATCCCTCGCAGCACTTAAGTAGTAAAAATGAATGATTGAGTGGCTAAATCTGTGTGTTAGATTAATTTGATCTAGCATCAATATTGAGTGGGTTCATTTGACTCTTTCTTCCTTAAGCATCTTCGGATACCTTGGATACCCATTTTTGCAAGCTGAAATCTGCACGCATATATAACACGTCAATTTTTTAAGGGTGAAATTATATGTATATCATTTTTCACTATATTTTTCTTTACATAATAAATATGACATTAATAATAACGCAATTATTTTCTTAACGCCTTAATTTTGTGCAGTTAAATAAACATGCAATATGGCATTTGAAGGAGGAGGGAATTAATGATTTGTGTGTAGCTATTAGCTTCAGATTTGGTGAACGAAACCAATAATTGTTGCAACGTGCAAGCGACAAGCCTTCAATATGTAGGTTGCCAATCCGGATGCCAAGATCCATGAACATGAGTTTTGGGAATAAAAAAATTTAAGATTACATATTTAACATCAAAAGAATTGAACATGAATCTGTGTATGACATGTGATAGATACTCCTGTGTTAAGTTAATTTGTCAAAGTTTTATCCTATAAAATAAATAAATTAAAATATTAAAATTATATTAATTTATATATGATAGGATGAAATAATTTACACAAACATATATATATATATATATATATATATATATATATATATATTTATTTATTTATTTATAAAGGGTGGTGGTATTACTGGTATACCCATAACATGCGGATGTTAGTTGAAACAAGGCAGGTTACTCGACCAAAAACAAAAGGGAGGGTATGATTTTTATGACATGAAAAATGTCATGGTATGGTTTCCAGGTGAGAGTGAGACTAGGTCAAACATTTAATACTTTTATAGATCATAGTGCATGTTACTAGATAAATAAATAAAAGTTTACTAAAATCTAATTTCATGAGAAAATAATATACAACTTGCTTTAAGGCCCATGATATTTAGAAGTTTAGTTTTATTAATCTTAATTTTTATAATTGAATTTTAATATTTAAAATTAGTAAGTTTTTGTTAAAAAATTGTTTATTATAATTTTACATCTCTAATAATAATTTTTAATAAAAATAATTAAAACTAAATAGAACTGTTAAAACTTAAATTTAAAGAAATTTTGGGTTGATATAAATGTTATTATATTTGAAATTACTCTTTATTAAAAAAAATTTCCAGTGTTTAATTATTTTAAAGTGGTAAAAAAATTAATACCTGTTATTCAAAAACTTTTTTAGTATTTAGTTTATGATAAAGACTAATTTTTGACGCATTTAAAATGTTAGGAATTAATTAATAACAAAATTTTATAAAGACTTATGACCAAAACTTATTCAATCCTATTTTAAGATTATATTTAAAATTAACAAATAAAACAATTAAAAAATAGTTGAGAAATAACAAAATGACATAAATATACATGTTTGTATATTTTTACAATTTTTTTTATTTTATAGACAAAAATATTTTTATGTAATCATGACACAGTAAATAAGAAATTTTATTAAAGTCTTAGAATAAAAATATAAAAATAATAAACTATAAGATTACACATTATTTTAAATATTGTAAATTAAAAAATATATGCTTTTACTAACAAAATTAGAAATTAATCATAAGGTGTAAACCAATTGAAATGACTTATAAAACGCAATTTTAAAAACAAAACTCTCCTGTCAACTGACGCATATTATTCATGAAATTTGAATCTAAATTCTTACTTTAAAAAAGACTTTTCACGACTTGAAATATCCCTGAAAAGAAAAGTTTTTGACAAGAGTGAGGGAAAAAAATAATCTTATTCACTGTCCAATTTCTCTCCAGCTCTATTCGTCTGTCTAGAAAGTCAACAAACAGATATTTTGCTAAAGGTGATCATTATGGCCACTATGAATTTGGTTTGAAGCATTCAAAATAATTTAGTGGTCCTCCACCACAAGCAAAAATTGTCATATCGTAATATATTAAACCCCTCCAGAATAGAACGAATCTACCAATGCCATTGAAGTCCTGTAAGGAAGATTCTTTGGTTTTAATGGGTATTTAATTACTTTGATTGGACCTAAAGAATGAATCATGTGAGGTCATATTTCTCTTGATAGAATTTAACTTTATAATCTTCTGTAAATATATACAAAGAAAAAAATAAATACAAAAATTTTCAAATTAAATAACAATATCATGTTTAAGGAATGAAATGATGACTATTTTGATGTACCCGCGGCCTTGTACCACCAAAACCAGAAGAAAAATGAGAATTTTTAGGAAGAAAAAAAGTAGAGATGAGTAGTATCAAGTGATGCTGATTGATAAAATACGTGATTCATGCGAGGGTAACATAATTTCGAAAATTTCATTTGTCTTGTAAGCTTCAAAATTTTCATTTAAAACACCAACTAACTCCAAGAATTTATGCCATGTAAAATACCAATCGATCAATTCACCAGAAAATAAGCAAATATCATTTACTTCTTTCCTATATTGTGTAGTAACGTAGAAAAGTAGGATGAAGACTCTTACAGCTTCAATGTCAATTTTGTAGACTAGAAGCTTCCTTCTTTCTCTGCAACTTGTTCTGTATGCAACAACGATATGCCCCACAGCCAAAGCACAAGAACACACAAACAAAGCTATTTGGGAGGCTCCATCAACACTCGTGAAGCTAAACACGTAAACAGCTTTCAAGGAAACAAATATCAGAGACATCACTGAGCACACCGTGGTGATCCCCAAATAAGGCCCACGGGAAAGTCTTGGTCCGTCACAAAAACTATAAACACCTACACAAAATAAAAACACAAACCCACGAACAATTCGAACCAGACGAATAAGAATATTGCTTTTGATTCAAAAGGGTAGCTAAAAATCACTTAAAAATTGAAAATTTAGCTTTGTATGTGTACTTACAGAATATGACAAGGGAACGTATTATAGATAATAAAGGTATGTCAATGAGGGAGTATCGAAAATCATAGTTCTCAAAATGGGAGAAGAGAGTTTGGAGGGAGAGAGAAGAGGGAGAATAAAGAGCTGAGAGTAAAGCAGAAGGAACAAGTGCATCTGCAATAACCAATAGAACCGGGGCAGAGAAAAGAAGCAAAGACATGACCATGGTGATCAAGAAGAACAAAGTCTTCACACCCCTCAATATCCTTTTGGATTTCTCTTCCTTTGAAAACCCCATCGTGGTCTCTATGTTTTCTTTCCAAATTCCAATTCTCAGTGTTTTTCAAAACTATGCTCTGTGTTTGTGCTGTATTTATCTAAAACTAGAAAGGGTGGAAATCAAGAAGCATTTGCAAGGCAATTTGGAAGGTGCAATGGTTTTGACCGTAATGTCTACTAAACGAGTGACGACTACAAATGCTTGGAACTTTACACGCCCAAAACGTAGACCTTTTCTCAGACCCTAACCCAACGGAAACAACACCTAAATGCTTAAACGACAATCAACTGTATTTTTGTTTCAATGCTGTTTAATATATAGGGGGGACGGTGATTCTCTGTGAACCCTTCATTACGTGAAATTTAAAGCTTTATTGAGAGCGTGACACGCGTCCACCTGTTGGTGAGTCAACCAGATCCAACATCGAAGAAATGAAAAGTCATAGGGTCAAAGAGTGGGACATTTTAATTTTCAATGTTTGTGCCCATAAGCGCGCATGGGGGAACCAAAAGATTGAACGCATGTGATCACATGCGACTTACCATATCAAATATTTATATTATTTATAGTTACTTATATTTTAGCTTTAATTAATTCTTATTTGGTATTTAAAATATGTTTCTCGCATACAGTTGAAAGCCCAATTTAGCTGGCAAACAAATTTTTAAGATATTAATAGTAATTTGCATATGATTTATAACATTAAAATTTACAAGTAATAATATATTAAAATATGAAAACTTAAATTTAATATATAAACAGGACATACAATGAAATTCTATAAAATTTTCATGTTACGAAAATTCCATCATTACCTTATCAAATAAGTTGAAATGATTATCTACTTATTTTTATTTCTTTTGGACCAAAGAAAAAGAGGTAAATAGGGAAATAAAAACTAGATTGAATGTGAGGAGATAAAGCAATATGAAGAAATATGAAGCAGCACGCTGGATGATGGCTTACCCTGTCACTTCCCAAGTTTGCTTCAAGAGAGGCCACACTTAAGCTGTCAACAAAAACAAAATCTAATTGGCCCAACTTTATCCTTAACATATATGGGACAGCCCAAAAAACCTAAAGCTAGAAAGGTCCAAAGAGTTAAAGATTAGAATTTAAGTTTTCGGGTTTAGAATTTATGTGCTCTTAAAGTTAATAATGTATTTTTAAGATAAAATAAAATTAAGATTAAATTAAAATTTTAAAAAATTATTATTTTAATTTATTTATCATAACTAAATAAAATTTTTATTATAATAATAAGAAATTATCTATTATATTTTTTAATACGTAAAATTTTATTATTGTTAAATAATGTTAATACTTTGTATATATTGTTTTATAAAAATTATGTTTATAGTTTTTTTAAATTAAAAAATAAATTTATAATTTATTCAAAACTTGTTAAAATATTTTTTATAAATTTATTTATTTCTGTACATTATTGTTTCTCACTTATTGCTTTTTTATAAAAAAAATTATTTACATGTCATTTAGTATTGATGTATGCATTTTAATAAAATGAATATTTTTTTATTGATTAATATAATTAAATAAATTAATTTTATTAAATTATTTATATTAAAAATACTAAAAATATTGGTAGTTAGGCAACACAAAATATTCTTAAAATAATATTAAATTCATTATAATGATTAAATGATAATATTTATTTTTAATAATAAATAAAGACATTGGTAATTTTTTTATATTTTAAAGTAATGAATAATTTGAAATAAATGTAAAATATTTAAATAATATTTAATATAAAATAAAACAAGTATACTTATTGTATCTACTTTTTTATCATTTAGATATAAATATATGATTAATATAATTATTTGAATAATTTAAATTAAATATTATTTTTATTTTATCATAAAATATAATTTTTAAGCATTAATTAAATTAGTTATGATCATACAATTGGTCTAAAGTAATACAACAGATTGTAAGGAGATGAAAAAAATAACAATTTAACAATGATGGGATAACTTGTACTTTCTATAATTTTTGAAATTTCTATAGTGTATATGTATATTTATAAATATTTATTATTTTTTAAAAGTTTACATCATAATTTATAAATATTATGGTGATTTTTTAATAAGAAAACTAATAAAAAAATGTGTAACAAAAAACATTTTAAGTACGCGTATTTTTTCACATAACAGATAAATAAATATTTTAAAATATGTTAAAATTTTAATAATTATAACTAAACAATTTAAATATACCTAAATTAAATTATATTATTATTATTATTATAATATTTTAAGATTAATTTTAAATATTTAATAATAATATTTTCTTAAAAAAATTAATTTTATATGTTTAAAATTGACATGACTTTAATAGTTTTATTAATTAATAATAACATACTTTTTAATATATTTAACTTTTTTCTTTTGTAATGATGCTACACACAAATCTAAGAATAATAAAAGAAAAAAAATTAGATAATTAACAAATGCATATCAATAATATATATATATATATATATATATATATATATCTAAATGAATATTTATGTTTAATTAAAATTTTAAAATATAAATTTTTAGTATAATTTTATAGTTAATTTATAGATATTTTCACTTACCTACATATTTTGGACTAACGAATTTAAGAATTAATTTAATTTTCTTAATTAATACAAAAACAAAATTAGATGGATTATTTCAGGTCGGATACCTAAGCCACAGTTATCGTCTACGTTTTCAACTCACCAAAACTCTCTGAATTTTACTGTTTGCCTTTAGAAAAGAAAATGTATATTTGATGAAATTATACCAACAAAATGTATGTTCACTCTACAGTGGAATAATATGCGGTGCGTTTATCGGCTATTTTTGCACTTTTTAACGATTTTTTAATATAAATTAAGAGTAACAAAAGTAAAAGTAAATCTATATAATTTTTAATAAAATTTAATCAATAATTAAAAATATTTTTTTTAAAAATTCACAGATGTGTTATTATATCTTTCTCAAAATCCTATAAGAAAAAACAAAAGAATTTTTCTCAAATTATGAAATTAAAATTTTAATACTAGAAAGTACATAAATTTGAAGTTTAAATTATAAAACTAAAAACTGCTCTTAGTTTTTAAAAATTTTAAAACTTAAAGATAACAACTTTATTAAATATAGTCTTAAATAGTAAGTATAAACTTGTTTATTTAACTAAAACCAAATTTAATGAATCATTTTAAAAATAAAATTCCAATAATTTACGAAATAGTTAATCTTATTTACAACCCGCCGTTAGTGTCCTATTTTTAACCCAAAAAAAGGTCAAACAATTTTGCAACGTGCAATGTTAAAGGCGGCACTGTCTTCCCCCTAACCTTTCCCTTTTCCTCTTTTCTCTTCCTTCCATTCAACTTCCTTCGTTCCCCCATCGAATCCACAATGGAAGAAGACCCCTCGCACCCCCGCCGCAACTCCACTGCGTCCGACGGAGATCCCAAGGTGTGGACAGCGTTCAATGAAAGCTTCCGGCAGGTGCAGTCGGTGTTGGACCGTAACCGTCTTTTGATTCAGCAGGTCAACGAGAACCAACAATCTAGGCTACGCGACAACATGGTAAAAAACATTTCGTTGATTCAAGAACTCAGCAGTAACATCTCCGAGGTTGTCTCTCTCTACTCTGATCTCAATTCCAATTTCTCCATTGCCTTCCAACAACAACACTAACAACTCTGCCGCTACCGTCGCACGTGACAACTCATGATCCGTCACGTGATCAATAAACTAGTTATTGCAAATGAACGGAATGCATGTGTTAATTTTCCTCAAGCTTGTGGAAGAGAAGAAAATTATAATTATGCTGTGTCTATTCATTTTTGTTAGGGTCGGCTATGGAGTCAGTTGGGTCATTGTTGCATTTTTTTACAATTGTTTTGAGAGTATCAATTAAGCTGATATCATATTAGAATTTAATGCGCGGGTTCGATTTTAGTGTGGATGAGAATGAATCCAACGAACTTGTTATTTAAGTGATTTCTAAAAGGAAAGTGTTCTGGAATGCATTATAGTATTTAAGATCGAACAATTATAGTTTTTGCCTTTTCCACATGCTTGTTTACACTCTGGATTGTAGAAGACAACGTAAGATAATAACATTTGTGTTTATTGAAGTTTTAAATAAATTGTCACGTTTATGATAAAAACTGAATACACAATAAAACAGAGCACGTGAACTCACCTGGTCCTATTTGCTCCAGCTTGAAGTTCTCAATAGCAAGTATGGTAGCATAGATTCATTCTTCAATTCATTACATATACATCACTCACCTTGGACCATGTGGGATAGTAGGTCCAATTTGATACCAAATTATGGAACAAAAAGATGATCATGTACCCGATCAAAGTGCTCGAATACTTTCTGCACAATTGACACTAAGGTTAGAACACAAAACCCTGAACATATGTGGCAGAAAATTGATTTAACTGTATGTATCATATCTACAGTTTTTGAAACTGTAATCCCAAGAAAGACCCATGAAGCAAGAAATAATAATAATAATAATAATAATAAAGTTCTTTGAGAAGGCAGTTCAAACACAAAAGTAAGTGTTTTTTAGTGCGTATAGAATCTTAAAGAGATATATGTCACAATTTAGTGGCTGATAATTAATTCATGCAAGAAAATTGGGCCTGTCTTAAGTCACAGAAGGGTGCATTATATAGTCATAACGCTGTAGTAAAGCAGGTGATAAGCAGGGCATCTTTGAAGCCCTGTGCCATTTGGACCTATGCTCTGGTATATACCCAGTACACACAATTTGTCTAAAATAACAAATATGGAAATCACATCCATCAAAAAGTGTAAGGCTACCACTATGTTTATTCGCCCCCTTTCATCATATTTCAACCATATTATAAAAAATTTAGTGCACTTTTTGGACGTATAATTTACTGGAGATCTTCTCATATGTTATTTGAGAGAGAAAGATATACAAGTAAAATTACCAGATCATAGACAATATATGGTCAATTATTGAATCCTACCACAATTTTTTTGGCATATTTCTCTCTAATATAACTAAAACTAGGATTGAAAAAAGGTTAAACTAGGTTGTGTAAGGCCTGAATTTGATCTCATTTTTTGCCCAAATTTAAAGTGTTTACACTATATAGGTTGTTTTTAAAAACAAGACTTACATTATTTTGAACAATTTTATTTTACGATAAAACCTTTTTTGATATAAAAAATCTACCTTAAAATAGGATTATAAGTTTAAACTTATACAGAAATCAATAAAGTTAAAACATTAAATAAAATAATCAGTATATAATCTTGAAATATTATGTTAAAAGTTTAGTGCAAATATTTTAAAGCAATAACATATTTTTATTTTTATTATTATTTAAATAGATTGATCTATTAAACTTAACAGACATTTAAAATAATTTGAAACTGGAGTTTTTAAATTAATTTAAAAAAATAAAAAACTTAACATGATATATTTTAAAAATACGTCCAATCATAGGGCCTCAATGAACGATTTTTCCATCCTTAACCAGAGGAAACTGATTTATTTTTTTGTCTCATCAACCATTCCCTTTCACAGTTTCACATCACACAAAAAGGAAATGAACAAGGTCGCATAATTCCCAAACGAGTGCTTTCGAGCAAAAATTCAAGTCGCACCATCAACGCATAAAATTCAATACCTCTTGAAATTCCTTCAAACAATTGATTTGAAATTCCAGTCCAAATCAATGTCTATAATTCAGTAGAAGCAAAAGCATGTCCATAAAAATGCTAAGTTTTGAATATATTTCAAGTTTCTAATGAATGAAAGCAAACCTGAAAATTTTCCATCTAAATATCTTTGTTAAAATACATCATTGAGTCACTCCCTCCGTATCCTCTTCCAATGTTTTTTCTTGCAAGAGATTTGGAGGATAAAGAAGAAGAAGTCCACTAGGGTTTAAAATCGTTGACATGAACCCTTAACCTTAGTTCCTAATGTTGGTGGTTTGAAACAACTTGCTTTGAGGGGGACTTGCTCTTAATAAGATTCACCCACCTTTTTGAAGGGGAGCATACTCATCATATAAAATTGCTTTCATGTAAATACTTGTTTTTAAATAATGTAGAATGTAGTGTTAATTTTACGTATAACATGACTACAAGTATTTTATGCTTTTTTTGCTTTCTCAAATAATATGATTAATTCTTACATTTTAACTATTTCTTATTGAGCAAAGGAGTAATTTTTTAGTATTGTAACTTTTTTTTATTTACTTCTATAATTTGTGCTGTTTAAATTAGAAGTAAGTGGAGATCTGTATATTTCCACTTCGTAAATTTATAAAATTCACAAAGTTGTTGATGGACTTGGACATTAAATAGTTGTCACAATTGGGTGTGTAATATCAGTTCGGGGGTCATTTTCTTTTTTTATTTATCAAATTTGATTTATTGTCGTGTTTGGTTGAGAAGATAAAATTTATTGTTTGAAGCACGTTAAGGGGAAAATTTGTGTTGAATGTGTTAGCTAGATGAGTCGAAAATGGAGTAATATTGATCAGATCAGTGCATGAGATGAGATCAAATATGATCTCAATCATAATAATTCAAGTTATGCAAAGAAATTAAGTCATAATTGTTGGAAATAAAGACAACTTAAAAATGATCGTTCAAATGGAATATAAAATAAGATAAAGTCATCCGTCATCACGTTAAAGATGAGCATCCGATAAAGTCAAAGGAATATGAATAATGTTATTAGTGGAGTCCTAGTATACATATGTATGCATTGCATAAACTATAGAACTCTACAATAAAGCCATGCATATCAGTTAAAAACTATGCAAAACTATTCGAACAAGATTGGGAAAAAGCTCTATAAGAAGATGCTCAATATATGGCCTCAGCTACTTTTGATAAAGAATTAAGAATATAGAAGAGTTGATCGTGAACGTAAAGCAAAGTGTAGAAAATAAATACAAAGTAAAAGCTTTAAACAAAAATGAATCCATTGCTACAATTGAATACAATTATATGATACACATGTGGTCGTGTGTACAAATATATATATATAGCCTGAAAGAGAGACATGTGCACAACACAATACATAAATCATCCTTTTACTGAACCTTTGAGTCTCTTTTCTTAAGTAAGTAGTGTTGTATTTTCTGCATAATATATTACTACTTCAATGTGAACATTATAGTCATAGCACCGGATGCTACACGCACTGCGTTTTATTATAATTGAATAGCTTAACGCATTGAATAGATGTCTTCTGGGTGAGTTTCTTAGAAGTACAATTATAAATAGAATCGTTAAATTCAAAGTTTCGTTTTAAGCTATGCTAATGTAAGATTTTTTAATCATAAATCTAACAATGCAAAAGATGTATAACTAAACTGTGCATCATATATCTATCCTTACTTAATAATAATAACAAACACTGTTCACTTTGGCTACACGCGAAACACAACTTAAAATGGATTAATGTTGCAAATAAACAGGCTTGACTTGTACGTAAATCCTAATGCTTCACTAGAACAAAGTTCTAAAAATAATAGTCTTAAACTTTTGAATTGAATAGTATAAACGTTTCTAATCCGTTAGTTACGTACGTTGATTAACATGAGTAATGGAACATAAATACTTTATAAGACATAAATGGAGCAATTGGCAAAAAGAGAAAGAAAGAGAATCTTCTTAGAAGGTTCTTGCTTTTCCTCATTCTCTCCGACCCTTAGTCCATCCATACATTATAAATGGATGCTTTGTTCCTTAATCTCCATGTCTGGAAAGCTTTATTAATTGGAACATAGTGAGAGGAAGAAAAGTATGGGTAATCACATGGCAACTTACAACAAATACAAAAGTTTCTTGCTCTTTATCAGAAAGTACAAGGTCATGGACTTGGTTCCACCTCAAGACCTCAAGGAGGTGTTCACAAAGTTCAGTGAAGGAGGGTCCTACATGTCCATTGAGCAACTCCGCCACTTCCTAGTGGAGCACCAGGGTGAGGAGGATTGCACCTTATCAAATTTTGAGAAAATTGTTGAGAAGGTCCTACAAGTGAGAAAGTCATGTCATGGAAATGTTAACGTTGATCAAAGTAAAGAACGAGAAATCACCCTTGAAGACCTCTTCCATTTCTTGCTTCATGATGATTTCAATGCTCCCTTGAAATCTGAGGTAAGCTCTTTCCCAATTTGTTTGGACACCAAGAAAGTATGGGACAGGAACTTTCTATTTTTCATATTCTTATACTTCACCTTAAGATCATAGAGTGATAAAAATATGAAGCAAATATGAAGATATTTTAGAGTTCCCATCTTTGGTTTAGCTTTATTTTACTAAAAGCAAATAATAAATGTCTGATTTCAGGTACATAATGACATGAGTGCTCCATTATCACATTATTTCATATATACTGGGCATAACTCATATCTTACTGGGAATCAATTGAGCAGTGATTGTAGTGAAGAGCCAATCATAAAGGCTTTAAAACGAGGCGTGCGTGTTATTGAACTTGATTTATGGCCAACTTCCAATAGAGATGATATTAAAGTAGATCATGGATGGTACATGAAGCTTATGTTCAAGTCTATTTTATGGTCCCTCTTGACTATACCAACAAAAAAATGAAAAAAAAAAAAAAAACCTTTTTTTTACATGATCTTGATTATTATAAAGCAAAACCTTTTTTGTTTGATTTTTCCCCCTCTTCCATGAAATCAATGCAGGACTCTTACCAACCCTGTCTCAGTTATCAAATGTCTTGAGTCCATAAAGGAATATGCTTTTGTTGCATCTCAGTACCCAGTGATAATAACTATAGAAGACCATCTTACAACAGACCTTCGAGCTAAATTTGCAGTAGTAGGCATCCAGTTCCACTTTCTCCTTTCATATCTATCTAACTAAGTTGAATTTAGTCACTATTTTGTTTTACTTTTTCTCTTCTAAACTTAATTCAATTCTTGCAGATGGTAACCCAAATATTTGGAGAAATGCTTTATTATCCTGAGACAGATTACATAACCGAATTTCCTTCGCCAGAATCATTAAAAAATCGAGTTATAATATCAACCAAACCCCCAAAAGAATGCTTTGAGTCTAACCGTATCAAGGACAATGACAACTGTCCTGGGATAAATGAAAGTGAATCATCATCGGAAGAAGAATTATGGGGAAAGGAATCTCCAGACTCAAATAGGACTGAAGTGGAAACTGAAGGCACTGTGAGACAGATTTATACACATTCATATCTTTGCAATAATATTAATAAGCTTTGCATGCTAATATTACTTTTTCTTTTTATATATTGTAGAATGGAAGTGATCGTGATGAGGGAGATATGAATGCATGTGAATGTGATCATAAATCATATCAAGAATGTTTACCAGAGTACAAACGAATAATTACTATCCACAACAGAAAATTCAAGGGTAGCTTGAAGGATAAATTGAAAACTGATGGTGAACTTAGACGCCTAAGTTGGAGTGAAACGACCCTTGAAAAGGCTTCCGAATCTCATGGAACAGATATTGTTAGGTACTTAACTGGTGAATAGTAGATACAAGAATGGTCACACTTTCATAGTCATATGCCAATATTACAGGACTTATCTTTATCGCATTCCTCAGTTATCACTTAATACTAAGATTAGGCCAAGGTTGTTATCCCATGACTTTTCTGATTCAATTTTGATACTCTTATAGGTTCACACAGAAGAATATCCTCAGGGTATACCCAAGTGCAATGCGTGTCAAATCCTCAAATTTCAAGCCACATATTGGGTGGATGTATGGAGCTCAGATGGTTGCATTCAACATGCAGGTTAGGGAACTATGACTAAGGCTAAGTTTTTCAAATGAAAGGAATTTGTTGGTCTTTTAAATTTTTGTTAGTGTGTGTTTGGTGGTGTTTCTTTTCACCGAATAGTTGTGTGAAACCAGAGTCACATCTTTCATTTTTTGCAAGTAGTATCTATGCCAGGAATTCTAACCTTCTACAGTTCCACCAATTGTCTTCCCCATTAGGGGCATGGCAAATCACTCTGGTTGATGCAGGGGATGTTCAGGGCAAATGGAGGATGTGGTTACGTAAAAAAGCCTAAAATTCTTATGCAGAAACATCAATGTGACAATGAGTTTGATCCTACAAGGATATTGCCAGTGAAGAAGAAATTAAAGGTAAACATATATCATTCACTGCTACAAGGTAAATTTATTTGTTGGGTCTTATTAACCAAGGTCTTAAGGAACTAGTTAATGAATTAAAGTAAAAAATAAATAAATCATAAATTACACATAGATGCATTGTAAATCATTGGGAGAAGTGTATTAATAAAATATTTTAGCAAAAATTTTTTACTTTTGATTCCTTAAAGGACACTAGTTAGTATTTGCCTAATTTGTTTGGTGACATCTTAATGTATCATCATGTCCAATAACAGGTAAAAGTATATCTGGGACATGGATGGAGCTTAGATTTCAGTCCTACACACTTTGATAAGTGCTCTCCACCAGACTTTTACGCCAAGGTCAGTTAGATAATTCTTGATATATACGACAACCATCAGTGGACTTCGGAGGTCTAATTTTTTACCATTGAATTTGATAATGGGCACAATTCTTATGCTTCATCATTCATCATAAATGCGTAAACTCTACAACTACAACTAATATCTTTGGTGGGCTATTTCTCTCTCCATTACAACTCCCTTTCAAGACTCGTGTGCAATGCACATAAAAAATTGGCTTGATCTATATTTTGAACTTTTGATGTTATTTATATTCCCTCCTCAATAACCGGGACACTTGAAGGGTTATTTTCACTTGATAAAAAGAAGAAACGCAGAGATATTATTGTATATGTATCTTACTAAATGATCAATTCTGTGTGACAGATTTATATTATTGGAATGCCTGCTGATTTTGCAAAGAAGAAAACAAAGGTAATCATGGACAATTGGCTTCCTGTTTGGGATGAAGAGTTTGAATTCCGATTAACTGTTCCAGAGCTTGCATTGCTTCTAATACAAGTAAAGGACAAAGATCAAGGAAAGGATGACTTTGCTGGGCAAACATGTTTGCCAGTGTCTGAGCTAAAACTTGGATTTCGTTCAGTCCCTTTACATAACAAAAAAGGAGAGAAATTCAAATCTGTCAAGTTATTGATACGGTTTCAGTTGGAATGAATTATTAAGATCATTCATGCAGGATATAAATCTCTCTTGTTTGTAAGGGTCAATTTTAGTTTGCATATTCTCCACCTCTATCATCACACGGTCTGAACCAAACGATTGCTTCAATTATCAAAATTAATCACTGAACAATTAACTGCATATTTCTAATTTAAATGTAATTGCATATGTTTTTAAAACAAATTTGGGAATTACACTAAACTAACCAAGTGCACAAGCTTTCACTAATTCTTTCTAATGGTTTAAGAGGATGTAGGTACTGAATGGTCAGTGACAATTAGACATTTTCATCAAGAAATTTTTAAAAGGAAACAGTCAACTATAATTTGATTTTCAAAAGCAGCCAAGCAAGTATTGAAAGGTTAGCAACACATTTTTTTTATAATACACTTGTTATTATTAACTAAAATTTATTAAAAATTATATATATTATGTGAGTTTTATTATTTTTTTTATTTTTAAATTAATATTTACTTTTTATATTTTTTAATTTTTAATAAATTTTACTGAAACATAGGCATGGACTCGTGCATCTCGTCGGCAATTTAATTATTTTTTTTGTCAAATTTTCGGTGTTGTCGTATGTCGTACATAAGTACACTGCAACTTGAGGACTGAGATCCTCTTATGTTTGCGCTCGAACATGAGGGTCATGTTACCGTGTTTTTGCATTTTTGCTTAAGCGAAAAATAATTCGCTTAAGCAAAAATATAAAAATACGGAATATGACCCTCATGTAATAGGAGGAATCTTTTTTCCAACCTAAGCTGTAACTAATGGTCTAGATATTGAGAACTCAAAAGGTATCAACTAAAGCGGGTAAATAAAAATTAAGAGATTATTTTACAAATTACAAGAAGACAACTTTAATAAAAATTAAATTCAAAATATGGATGCTGACTGAATAATTTTGGTGTTACTTAACATCACAATCCTTCTTCTGGTTTTTATACATAGATTAACTATATATAAATATTTTACACTATCAATCATGTAGAATATATTATAAATATTAATTTTATATTAATTATTACATAAATTATATTTTTTTATATGAAAAATTATAATTAGGTAATATATTAAAAATTATACTCTTAGGTATTCAAATTAAATTGACAATCTTATTTTAGTTTTAATATATTAAAAATAGATAGATTAGTGGCTAGATTTCATTGTTGTTATAAATGATAGGAAGTCTTTGCGGCCTGTGGCAAGAGAGTTAGATATTATAAAGTAAGGGCACTTTAAGAGGAAAAAAAGATGTAAATCTATAACCACAAAATTTAAAAAGTTAATAGTTGAGAAAATGCTTACATAAACTATTTTTCAAAAGACAATTAGAAATATGTAGTTTTCCCTTTAAAGTACATTGACTAACATCTACCTTTCACAAATGTTTTGACAACGGTGCAAGAAAAAGTGAAACATTCGAAACCAAGCAACGGAAACACCTTACAAAGCATTGTAGTCAATACCCCCTTAGAACATAAATATATGTAATAAGCATCATCAAATAACAAAATATTAAAAAAAAAATTATAACATTTGAAAATGAATGCTATTAGTTTCAATTAAAAAAAAAAATACTAAACTCACTTACTAAATATTAAATTTACAAAGTTTGTTAAAAAATAAATGATTAATAATGTAAATAAATTTTACGAACATAACAATTACTATAAATAAATTTTACAAATATAGCGAGTTAAAATTGAAAAGTACATATGGAACTTTAAAAAAAAAACAGAAAAATATAAATTTTTTAACTTATTAAATGAATTTATTTATTTTTATTACTTAATGTTTGAGTTAAACAAGTATTTATTTTATTTAAACTGCACTTTATAATTAAACTTTTTTTAATGTTATATCCATATTTTATTTTATTTTTACTAACAAATATTAATTGGTGGTTTTAAAACATTAATTGAAAATTAAAAACATTACAAAATATTTGTAATATGCTTCTATTATATTTCTAATAAAAATTTAAATAAAAATTTGATAAATTTTTTTATAAACTCATTAATGTAATTTTTTATATCTTTTAATAAATCTCAACATCATTCATAATAATAAAACGATTAGTTTGAAATTTGTGATCGGTGATCTATAGAAGATCTATTAACAAGTAATTGTTTCAATATATTTTTGAAAAGCGAAAAATAAGAACAGAAAAAGAATGGTAGTAAATTTAAAATAATTAAAATATGTAAGGCACAAGTCCATAAGAATACGAAAGAACAACTTCCGCTTCAATCGCTTTCGGTTTATGGTTCTCTTTAATTCCCAAACCATCCATTCCTTTCAATCTTCATCATCATCGCTTTTTCTTCTTTCAAATCCATTCACCCTGCGCATGCAAAAACACAATGAGCACCGTAAACTACACAATGTTCAAGTGTTTCAACAGAAAATTCGCCGTCTCCGAACAGTCCCCTCCGCAGGACGTCAAGGAAGCCTTCTCCACCTTCGCCGACGGTGTCCCCTCCATGTCCGCCGACCAGCTTCACCGATTCCTGCTCGACCACCAACTCGAACTGGATTGCACCGCAGAGGATTCCCAGCGCGTGGTTGACAACATCTTGCACTCGCGGAAACCGAACGACAATGAGGAATGCGACACCGATGGGCCCCATCGCGGAATTACACTGGACGAGTTCTTCCATTTCATGTTCCTCGTTGATTTCAACGCCCCCCTCAAATCCCAGGTCTCTCCCCTTTTCTTCACCCCTCCTGTTTGCTTACCTGGAAAATGTGCCTACGTCGAAGATAAATCAAATCGTTTTTTTCAGATACTATATAAGCATTCTGTTAAATTGTTACGTTGTTATTGATGCTGTGCACCATGAAAGTTTCTTCAGAACACAATTTCCATATATTATGAATGTCGACATAGGTGGGCCCCGAGGTTGGATAAAAAAATTATTTTATTTTACATTTTGTCTGTGCTAAAATAATAAATAAATACATTTTATTAATTTATGTTAGAGAGAATGATAGGATAAATAATAAGATAAATTTATCATAATTACTTAATTAAATAAATAATAAGAATAAGATAGGTAAGAAAAAGTGCTTTATCGTACGTCTGTTTTGAAGAGTTAATAATTTTTTTTCCTTTTTATATACATAAAAAGTTAATAATCATTTATAAAAATAAATTATTTTTTATAAGTTATTTTTAATTAATTTCAAAAAATTTCTTAGTAATTAAAATTAATTGTTTTAAATTTATTTTAATAAATTTCATTATTAATACAATATAAGTTATTATTTAAAAATTATTAAATAAATATTTAATTAAATACTATTTTCAAATTCACCTTGTGTAGTCTTTTTATCTTTTCTGTCAATAGACTTTAAGTAGGCTTATAAGTGTTAAGATATTTTATATTAATTAAAAATAGAGTAAAAATACTCTTCATAATAGCTAAAATAATTATACTCCTATTAGCTAGTTTTTGAGAGTGAATTAAATTTAAATTTTTTAACATAGTATTATAATCTATTCAGTTTAAACGTTGAGCTTCTCACATATGTTATAATACTGTTGAGTCCACTAGTTGGTAAATTTTATTTCCATAAGTTTTACATTTTACTGAGATAAGTTCTTCCACCGATTTTAGTGTAAAAGAAAAATTGACCAGACAGACGCATTAATGTTAGGCAATTGGAACTGTATGTTGAACATTCATTGTGGAACAGAGAAGTGGGACACTGTATGGTGTTTCCACATTTAAAACTGTTTAATGTGATAAAAAAACAGAAGCAAAAGTAATATGGTATAAAAATACAGTATAAATGTTTTAAATGATTTTTCAAACATCAGACTCATTTGGCAATAGGTTAGTGTGAAAAAAAAATTTAAATTAAAGTTTTACTTTGACAATATGCATGATAAAAGTTTGTATTGAAAGTTAACACAGCTACACGTTAAAGATCAAAAGGTATTAACGTGAAATTTTAACTTTTGATCGAAGCACTTAAAATTTTATATATACAAAAAATACATGTTATTATTGCCACAGCCATATTGTTGTGTGTTCTGTTGGATCCGTAGTTATGTACATGCATCTAAAAGTATATTTCAAATATAAAAGGGAAAAGTTTGAATATGGAATGCGATTAACTTGGATTAAACTTCTGCAGTTACATGTCAAGTTTATGACTGACATTGGTTTATAATGGTCAATAGTTATACTAGTGTAGAGAATACACTTAAAATTGACAAAACCAATTTATAGTATTGGAGATGAAACAGGAAAAAATGAGTATATACAATAGAAGGGTTTAAGTATTAGTTGAAGACAATATCGTGTTTTGTGTTAGTGTTAACTATTTTTAGGAATGTTTTTGGTCTCTTCTTGACAATTAGAATGATGTGTCATGCCAGGTACATCATGATATGAATGCTCCGTTATCACATTATTTCATATATACAGGGCACAATTCCTATCTGACTGGGAATCAGCTGAGTAGCGATTGCAGTGATGTGCCAATCATAAAGGCTTTGCAACAAGGTGTGCGAGTAATTGAACTAGATGTGTGGCCAAATTCAACTAAAGATGATGTCGTCGTGGTTCATGGAAGGTGCTGATCTTGAGTTCAACCTTGTAGAGCTGGAAGACTATTTCCCTCGTGTCTTTTTATCTTTTAGTTTTTTAAGTTATTCATGATGCAACTTTGTACATACATTTTGCTTAGAACATATTTCTGAAATGTCTCAGGACACTTACCGCTCCTGTCTCACTCATCCAGTGTTTGAAGTCCATAAAAGAGTATGCTTTTGTTAAATCTGATTACCCAGTCATTATCACATTAGAAGACCACCTTACACCAGATCTTCAAGCTAAAGTTGCAGACGTAAGCTTCCATCATTACCCCCCAAACCACACACACACACACCCAATAAAAAAAGTATCTACTTCGAGTCCCTCTTTGTAGGTATTGAATGCAAATTTGATCATATCTGTAGATGACAACTCAAATATTTGGAGACATGCTCTATTATCCTCAGACAGATCTTCTGGCGGAATTTCCCACACCAGAATCGTTGAAAGGTCGAATTCTTATATCAACCAAACCTCCAAAAGAATATCTTGAATCCAAGCAATTCAAGGATAGTGACAGTGAAAGGGAATCAACAGAAGAAGGATCATCATCATCACCATGCCTTGGCACTGAAGTGGAAGTTGATGAGAGGGTGAGCATAGAGAAATATTTGTTTCAAATTTGATTTACGTTTATAATCTCTGTATCCTTATATCATCTTCCCCAACACCCCCGCTCTCCCCTAACTGGATAGTTCAATGGAAGTGATCTCGACGAGGAAGGTTTGAATGCTCGTGAAAAGAAACCAGACCAACAGAGTGCACTTGAATACAAACGTTTGATCACAATCCATGCTGGGAAACCAAAGGGTAATGTAAGAGACCACTTAAACATTATTGGGGATGTAAAGCGCTTGAGCTTGAGTGAACAGGAACTTGAAAAGGCTTCTGCCTCTTATGGATCTGATATTGTTAGGTATTTGTCCAACAGTCAAACCTACTTTGTAAGTAGTAGGTACTATTGTAGTTGACAACCTCTCACCTTAGATGTTGCACTTTATGCTTCCAGATTTACTCAGAAAAATATTATCAGGGTGTATCCAAAGGGAACACGTGTCAACTCCTCAAATTACAGGCCGCATATAGGGTGGATTTACGGAGCTCAGATGGTTGCATTTAACATGCAGGTCAGGGACTTATGACCAAGATTGTTTCAAATAAAAGGTTTACCGTAGTGTTTTCTATTTCCAGTCTAGATGCACTCTCCAGCATATGGTCCATGTGAAATTTTTGTTTGTACAGTTCATCTATTTGTGTACGTGGACGAAACAAGGAAAGGAAAATATTTTTTGTACAACCACTATGGATATCTGTCGATGTCTTAAGAGTATTTTTAAGATTATGTATACAATAGAAGATAAAAAGTTACCAAAAGATAAGAGTATACGGTGTCAATTTTATTATGTTCCAAACTTCAAATAATAGAATTAACGAGGAAGCTGGTGACGCGTGGCTACATCTTCGGGATATTTTCTATTGTGGAGCAATCTTAATGCACATTGAACTAATATTTCTAAGTTATTGTGCCCACATACATTTAATTCTTTGTTGTATATTATTTTATTGGTACCACTAACAATCGTTGCTAATGCTAATGCTGTATAGATTTTTTGAATAGTAATATGCTAGTAACTAGTGTGATCTTATTTTTCAAGTTTTTTGTTCAATGCACCCTTTGATACTAACATTTTAGTATATGTTATTCTTTACCAGGGGCATGGAAGATCACTCTGGTACATGCAAGGGATGTTTAGATCAAATGGTGGGTGTGGTTATGTGAAAAAGCCTGCATTTCTGTTGGAAAAAGGCCCAGATAATAATATTTTTGATCCTAAAAGAACATTGCCATTGAAGACGACATTAAAGGTAATAATATACTATTTAAAAAGGAAACCGATTGGTTTGGTGACATCTTTTGAACTTCTACCCTGTCCACCTATAGGTAAAAGTATATTTGGGAAACGGGTGGAGCACAGATTTCAGCAAAACACACTTTGATGCATTCTCTCCACCAGACTTTTACACAAAGGTGAGTTCGATATTTTTGTTAATACTGCAGATTAGGAACAGCAATCTGTCAGTAATCCTAATTAAACATTTGTAGGATTAAAGAAATTATTTTCACAATTAGACATCAATATATTAGCTTAGTTTTCAGGGTTTAATATTGATAGATACACCCCCCACTGATTACTGAGCCGAACATTTTTAAGATTATTGCAAGAATAGAAACCCTTTTTGTAACCATCTGCCACAACTGCATTTCAAAATTCTTGTCGGATTTATATACCGTGAAGAACAGACTAAATCACTTGATTAATTTATATAATAACAGGTTTGCATTGTTGGAGTACCAGCTGATAATGCCAATAAGAAGACCAGGGTAATTCAAGATAATTGGTTCCCCGTCTGGGAGGAGGAGTTTGAATTTCCTTTGACTGTTCCAGAACTAGCATTGCTCCGGATAGAAGTTCGAGAGTATGATAAGCATGAAAAGGATGACTTTGGTGGGCAAACATGTTTGCCAATATCTGAGCTAAGATCTGGTTTCCGAGTAGTCTCTCTAAATGATGAGAAGGGCGAGAAATTAAAATCTGTGAAGCTTTTAATGCGGTTTCAGTTCAGTGAACCGGAGGAATCAAGTGAATAACAATCTAGGCATATAACATAGTCTCATAAATTCCTAGGTGGTTTTTCTTCTGACTGGTGACTTAACAAGATTGATGTAACAAAAGATTATCTACATCTAACTGCTTCAAACAATATTATGGGCATTAGAGGTTATCTTATGAAAGAGACCATTATTGTACCAGGGTGTTGTTTACTTCATGTGCAGATAAGTTTAAGGTGTACGATGATGCGAGACTTGAGACCAGAAAGCCATAATATTGATGCGAATTTGATGCCATACTTTACAATGAAGATATTGATAAATAAAATCTGTTGAAAGATGTTTGTCAACACAGCCACACAAGTTGGCACATACCTGCTTGCTATTGACAAATATCACACATGGAGAGGAAGATGGTGAAAATCTTCACGTCACTTAAGTAGTGGAGGTGTCTCATCACAACTCAACCATTCACCTTTGCCACACTTGTTGAAAAGAGACCACTGCTTTGCACTCTTTTTGATAATGACCACACTTGTATTATGTTGGTCCCCTGCTAATTTTTGTAGTAGATTATCGTAAATGCAATTATTCTTACAGGTACATGCATTCCAATAGCACTATTATTTTAGACGCGAGCAAGGAGGGGAAAACCAAACCCGGCAAAGAAATTAAATGTACCCCTTCTTTTACTCTCACAAGTCACAACCAAAAATTCTAACCCTCCAATTCAGACTATAAGATGGGCGAAAAGATTTCTTTTAAAATTATATAGTTATTAAATTATTTACACACCTTCTTTATTACTTTATCTCCATACAAGGGGAAGAAAATTTCCCTCAAAATCTTTTAAATATCTAGCCGATAAAAATAAATAAATCTTTTAGCTTCTTATATTCTTCTTTATATTCACTTAATTTTAAGAATATATGAACGATGAAGAATGTCATGTTCAGGGTTATTAAACTTAAGAGTTTACATAAACTCGTGTTTATTTCAGAAAAAATAATATTTAAAAGTTGTAAAAATAAAATAAAACACATAATAAAGTTAAAATTATAAATGTGATATTTGCAGAAACAAAATAAAATTGGTATCAAATTTTATATGGCAAGAACCACGTTAAGTTTTATTGAAACATCACAGGACACATTAAACCTATAATTAAAAGCAATGGGATCATAAACTCAACTCCATGAACTCAGCACAACATATAAAGAGACACATGTCATGGAAAGTGACGCTCTGAATATTATTCCAAATTGATACGACGCGCAATTATATATTTATATGCGCCAAGTATACACGTTGTGGTACCAACGGAAATTGACTTTTAATAAGAGTTTGTCAATTTCTCATTAAATGATAAATTGCAGCTAGAGTTCGTGTTGAGAGAGATGCTTACATATAAAGTGTGACTGTGCCTTAAATAATATTATCTTCTATGAAAAAATATATACAAATAAGAAAAAGACAAAAACATTGCTATAAGAAACATCATGTTTAAATATTTATTCTACATGAGCATTTAATCAATGAAAAGCACACACAGTATGTGCAAGGCGTGTTCTCTTGGAAGTAAATGAAAGGGAGAGATCCATATTATTAAGGACATGGATTGTCAAGCTCTTTAAGATAATGTCCTTTGAGTTAGAGGAGCTAAGCAAGTAGCTCATTTCCAATGTTTTTGATGCAATGAAGATAGTTCTTTTAACAGACATAACACCCATGATTGTACAAAGGCAGTGTCATAACCAGCAATCAATTTACACATAATATAATTTTTTTAAATATAATTTATGCATTTTTTTTATATAATTGTTATTTTAAATATGTTATTATTTCAATAGCTTGCTTTTACAAATGTCTTTTTTTACTTTTCATTTTCTGACCTTTCAATTTTTTCTAACTATTTTTAAATAAATTTCAACAAATAAATGTATACCTTGTTACATACATTAATCCTAATATAAATATATTCATTATCTTAAATAGATTTTTAAAAATTTATTTTAAGTTATTTTTAAAATATAAAACAGATAACAATTGAAAGTACATTGACTATAATGAATCACAAAAACATATTTGATTGCTTATAATGATAATCAATATAGAAATAAAGTAAAATATACATTAATATAATATATTTAAAAAATGATCTCACATTTATAAATAAAAATTTGAATATAAATAATTTATTTGACCAAATAATTCATTTTAAATAGATACTGGCTTGATATTCACATACTTAATGAATATAATATTTAATTATATTGTTTATATTTAATATAATTTTTTTCATTAGATTAAGTGTATATATTTCATAAACATAATAAAATCTTTTATATTAGTGTGCATTTACATTTTGTTAATCAAGAATATTTTTATAAATTAAATTTATTTTTAATACATATTTTAATAGATGATTTTAGGTATTAATTTTGTAATAGTTATATTTTATTTTACAATAAATATTTTTAATAAATTTTACTAATATATAAAGTCATTCATCTAATAAATATTTTTGTTGGTCCTTTTCAGATGATAAATAATTTACCAAATTTTAAAAGTATATAACATTTTTTCATGTAATATTGTGATTTAGTAAAAAATATCTTATTAATAGGATAAAAGGAGTATATTACAATCAAATTTTATCATGTGTGTGTGAATGATACACTAAGAAACAATAAATATATTGTTAAATATTTCCTACAACTTTGATATAATAGTTTTTTATTTTTTAAGAAATTTCTATTTTAAACTTTTTAACATGTACCATTAGACAAACATTAGAAAACCAGAATTATATAATATATTTAACAAACATAGTATTAAATTCAAATGTGCATGCAGTTAATTTTACTTAAATTTAGAATAATCAATTTTTTGTTTAATAATAACTTTTGAAATACATTTGAATAATAAGAAATTTCATTCATTGAATAAATATATTATAGTTAATTAATATAGCATTTAATTGAATGGTTTGTATTTGATGAGAAGTTAAATGTGTTAAATGAACATGGTCCTTTAGATTACTGATGAGTTCGGTTTCAAATGCTACTATTAATAAGAATAAGATAAGAGATGCTCGTTACTGTAAAAAAGACTTTAAGAAATATAATTTTGTACTAATTCAAAATAGAGATGACCACATTTAGAGCTCCACGTTAATTATTCTGCTAAAACCACCAAAGTAGGAAGATTTAAATTGTTTGTTATAAATTTCAAAATTATTTAAGTTTTGGGTCAGTCAAAATTTCCATTAATTGCATTATTATAGTTATTAAAAAATAAAATAAAATCCATGCATGACATGCGTAGATATACTATACCTAAGTCTCTTCAACTTTATTGGACTAACAGATAATGGTTTCCATGTTGACATTTCCTTGCAAGGAATGGTTGGATCTGCTCCTTTATAGGGTTGAAATTGAACTATCATCGTTTTGATGAACAACAATTTAATTTTTTATATTTTCTTATATTTTATTTTTAATCATATTATTTATTTATTTATTTTTAGTTTTAATTTTTTTCCTTTTTTATTTTTATATCTACCCATGAAAGGGTGCAAAATTTTCAACATTCTTTCATAAATGATTATTAATTGTAAGCACGTGGACAAGTGAAAACCGACACTGGTGTGAAAATTAGCTCCATCAAAGTGCGTGGGGCACCCATGATTTTCACGTTTGTTCTTAGTTATAAGTTACTTTTCCAATTAACTCTAGAAATGGTTCAAGAAATACCAAATACATGCAATAATTAACATTAAGTAGTTTAAGAGGCGAGAAATTTGATTTAAAGAAAGGCAAACGTTAATTGAACCATGTTAATCAGTGTTTATATAAAAAATAAAAAGGATAAATTTTTATTAAATGAATTATTCGTACATATTAGTTGTAATTTTTAATAATATTTTTTTTATAATTGATTTACTTTTTAAAAAGTCAAAATACTTATCTTATAATATATTACACTTTTTAAATTTATTTTGACTATTTTAAAAATAAAATAATTACAAAAAGTATATAAAAATATATTATTAGTATCTTTAAATTACCTAAACTTTAATTAAAATAATCAATTAAAAATATTCATAACATATTATTTTTAAATACATTCTTAAAATATATTTTTTATAATTAGTCAATTATCATTTCCTTACATGGATTATTTATTCAACTCAGATTAGTCTACATGTGACTTTCTTTTTTTAATGTAAACTATATGTGACTTTTAATGTTTGGATTATTTTGTCATTATAAATTCTATCATGGGTTTGTTGTTATGAAGAGTTATATATTAAAAAAAGATTAACTGGAAGGTAATTAGAATTGATCATTGGTTGCAGTGTCGATCGACTCGGGGGACAAGACAACCTGTTTCTGGTTCCACTTCTTATACCATTGCTACCAACATAACCCCAACAACGTTAAACTCAGAACCCACACGCAATCGCAACACAACACAACCTAAGCCACCATGTCCAAACAGACTTACAGTGTGTGCTTCTGTTGGCGCCGCCGGTTCAAACTGGCCCTGTCGGAGGCTCCACCGGAGATCAAGAACCTTTTCGAACAGTACTCTGAGAATGAGTTGATGACTGCTTCTCACCTTCGAAGGTTCTTAGTTGAAGTGCAGAGACAAGAGAAGGCCACTGAAGAGGAAGCACAAGCCATCATCGATAGCTCCAAGCATTTCCATCGTAGAGGTGCTGGCTTAAATCTCGAATCTTTCTTCAAGTACCTCTTCAGTGACAGTAACCCACCTCTCCCACCTTCTCTTGGGGTAAAAAAAACTTAGCATTTTGCGTTTTTATATTTGAGTCTTCGTCACACTCATTTGGGTCAACGAGATCTGGACTTGGCATTATTGACTTTCCAATTGGGGTGTTCTTCTTGTTAGATTGGATTTTACCATATTCTTTATCTTAAATATGACATTTTTCTGACCATTTTTGTTTATGTGAATTATTGTTTTTGTTAGAGCTTTGTCTACTTATGCTAGTTCTTGTTTAGAGTTATGCACCGAGGTTGAGCGATTAGTATGGCCAATCACAACTGAATTTGTAATAATTCAGCCTCTTATTGTTGCCAACTTTGTACTTATGGACTCACCCAAAAAAAAAAAAAAAAAAGGATGATTTGGAGTTTTGGTTGTGTTTGCTTTAAGGCATTTGGTCATCTAGTTCAGGATCTTCTTTTCCAGTACCTTAATTCTGTAAAACTCATGCCCCGAGTAATTTGGGCCAAAACTTTGATTAACTTGTTGGATTCCATCCAATCTTTCCACAACGCATTCTTACTTCTGTAATTATTGATACTATGTTCTGCAGAGTTATGTGTTCTCTTATTCTGATCATTGTTGTGTAATTGTTTTTTCTATTCCAGGTGCACCAGGATATGACTTTACCCTTATCACATTATTTCATATACACTGGCCATAATTCCTATCTAACTGGGAATCAGCTCAGCAGCGACTGCAGTGATGTCCCTATTATAAATGCACTGAAGAGAGGTGTGAGGGTGATTGAATTGGACATATGGCCTAATGCATCAAAGGATAATATAGATGTTCTTCACGGAAGGTAAGTTTAGCAGTTTACAGGTTGAATAATGTTGACTTTCATACATAACTCTTGTCAGCTCCCTTTTCTCGTTTCTTTCCCTCACTTTTCTTTAAGTGATAGGCAGAAATCAACGAAAAATATTTAACAGTTTTGAAAATAAACAATCTTTCTCTGCTCTGATTTGTTTTCTTGAGTGTAAGCATGAATTGCCTTGAAAACAAAGTTTTGTAAAGGATGATAGTTCTCCTCCAATTTGACAAAGATTTATCCTTCTATTTTCTTTGGGAATGATGTTTCCAGAGTCAGTTGAAGTGAAAAGGTGAGAAATTGTAGTATTTCCTCAACAATCAGGCATAATAGACAAAGTAGAAGCGTAAGTTTGAAATCTTTTCTAATTAAAAATGTAATGGGAACCATGGTTGTAGAACAGGATATATATAAATGATATATTATTCCCAACTGAATACACAAATTATTGTTTTTGAAAATTTGAAATATAGTTGTTTACATGTCTATTTTTCTTAATAACAGGACATTGACAACTCCTGTAGAGCTCATTAGATGTTTGAGGTCTATTAAGGAACATGCCTTTGTGACATCAGAATATCCAGTTGTAATAACCCTAGAAGACCATCTTACTCCTGATCTTCAGGCTAAAGTGGCTGGGGTTAGTTACTTGAACTTTTATTGGGATTCACAATGCTTACACTCTTAATAGTTGACAATCCTGTCCAAATTTTTAGATGGTTACTCAAACATTTGGAGACATACTATTTACTCCTAGCTCAGAAAGCTTGAAGGAATTCCATTCTCCTGAATCGCTTAAAAAGAGGATTATTATATCAACCAAACCACCTAAAGAGTACCTTGAGACGAAAGAAAAGGAAAAAGGGGATGAGTCACAGCAGGGAAAGGCAACAAGCGAGGATGAAGCTTGGGGGAAGGAAGTCCCAAGCTTAAAAGGTGGTACTATGGCTGATTACAAGGTTGGAGACTAAATCGATTCTGTAGATAAATTTCAACTGCATTTAATTTTGTTAGAGAATTTTGTTAATTGACTTTCTGGTTTGCCATCTTTAGGATAACAGTACGGAGGAGGATCTTAATGATGAGGAAGAGTTTGATGAATCTGATAAGTCACATCATAATGAAGCTTCTGAATATAGATCTCTAATTGCCATTCATGCTGGAAAGCCCAAAGGTGGATTAGCAGAATGCCTCAAAGTGGATCCTGATAAAGTGAGACGTCTAAGTTTAAGTGAGCAACAACTTGAAAAGGCTGCTATAAATCATGCAAAAGATATTGTCAGGTATTGTTAAATGTTTCTAACGAGCCCTTTTAAGGAAGAACTTATTTGTATGTGGTAAAACTCCCCACTCTGAATGAATGAAATTCCTCTAACTCTCTATTGTTCTGCAAAAAATGGTGTAAAAGTTGACTGTTATATATTGTTGGCCCAGGATCATGCACTAGGTTTAGTGTCTGATTAGTTCATACTTAGTAATGCTAATAACCGGTGACCTATCATCATGTCTGACAGAGTTTGTGCTCATATTAAAACCTTCTTTAATATGATTTTGGCAGCATGTCTAATGGTTTATTCATCCGCTGAAACAAGCTCAAACCTCTTGTATGCTTTTTGACTTGTACAATTTCTACTACTTTTTTATTGATTATTTTCCGGTTGTACCATGTTTTGCATTTTGAATAAATTATGTCTGATTGTGTGTGTTGTTTCTGTGTGCGTGTTTGAATAAGTTCGTTTCTAATTGTTGGCCTGCTATAGGTTTACTCAGCGGAATATACTGAGGGTGTACCCAAAAGGTACTCGCATTGACTCATCCAACTATAACCCATTAATTGGGTGGATGCATGGAGCTCAGATGGTTGCATTTAACATGCAGGTCTCTTTCTCTTCCTCTCCCCCCGGGCCCCCATTTTTTTGTTTTCCTTATTTAATACTTTCTCTATTAGGGAATTTTTACTATTGCCTTGTATTTTCATTTTTGTCAGTTCAGTTCTTTCTTCTTTCACGGGGCAAGGGAAAGAAGAAATTGTTAACCTTCAAGCTACTAAAAAAATTCAATAAACATTTGACATCACCTAATGTGATGGTTGAAATATGAGGCAGTCCTTTTTGAGCCTGAATTATAACTTATTATTATTGGAGTTTGATATGCTACTACAAACATCCAATGTCATGAAGTATATTATGTGATTAAGATATTGTTTGATATGAATCAGTTTTCATTACGGTGGATTTCATGGCCAGGGATATGGGAGATCACTTTGGTTGATGCATGGAATGTTCAGAGCCAATGGAGGGTGTGGTTATGTTAAAAAACCAGATTTTCTATTAAAGACTGGTCCGAATAATGAGGTTTTCGATCCTAAAGTCAAGTTACCCGTGAAGACTACTTTGAAGGTAAAGTATTTACCTTGCCTCATACAAGTATCTCTGGTTTAATACCAACAAAGCTCATAATACTTATCCTATTCTTAGGTGACTGTGTACATGGGAGAAGGATGGTATTATGATTTCAAGCATACACACTTTGATCAGTACTCACCACCAGACTTCTACACGAGAGTAAGTTAAGACGATGTACTTTTAATGCGTTTGATCCTTTTCACAGCAACTTTAATTCACAAGGGTAGTTTTTTCCTTGCAATATATTGCATATTATGTGATACCTTCCCTCGTGTTTTCTCCTAGTTCATGGCTCAATTGTTGTGTGATTTTATAAACTTTTATGCAGGTGGGAATTGCTGGAGTCCCCAGTGATACTATAATGAAGAAAACTAAACCAATAGAGGATAACTGGTCACCTACATGGAATGAGGTATATGAGTTCCCACTTACTGTTCCAGAATTGGCCTTGCTTCGCATAGAAGTTCATGAGTATGACATGTCTGAAAAGGATGATTTTGGTGGACAAACATGTTTACCTGTTTGGGAGCTAAGAAGTGGCATTCGAGCAATTCCACTGCATAGCCAAAAGGGAGAGAAATACAACACTGTGAAGCTTCTTATGCGCTTTGAATTTTGTTGATTCTGTGCATCCTTCTACTCTACATTATGTACAGTCATTAATATGTGTTAATAAGAGTGTGTATGTACTATGTAGTAGTTAAAGATGGTATCGTGAATGATGTCCATTGAGAATAATGTGTGTTTTGTCTTTCTTGAGGATGTATTTGTGTTGTAAGGCTTATCAATATGTACTTATATGTCCCTGTGGAAATTAAATGTGTTTCGGTCTATGCTTTTTATTTTTATTTATAATACAAATTTTATTTTAAAAGCATTAAGTTATTATAGTTTCGTTATTATTTTTAAATAAAAAAAATGATTAAGTTTGAGAATTAGCATGAATATGTAATAAGCAAGTTTGTCTTAACACTCTTAACAGCAATACGTTTTAAATATCTTGGTCAAATACACAAAAATACGAATCACTTCTTTCGAGTTGGCCAAACACTTGAGGGAAGAAAGCGATGGCTAAAACGAAAAAAGAAAAAAAGAAATAGGGTTAATAAATGATTGCATGTTCATGAAAGGCAAACAGAATAGAGGGAAACTGTTGCTGTACCCCATCTAGTCAGTGACAATTATCTTAATTGAAATGTTCTAAAATATAGATTTTATATTTTTATTTATTTTAAATAATTTTTGCATAAATTATTCAATAAAAATTTAAAATATTTAATATAATTAATCAAAATTGAAAATAAAATTTATTAAAATAGTGACTGATATATGTGTGTATATATGCATGCATATTTAATTTTTCTTTTCTCTAAGTTGACCTAAAAGTTTTACATGAAACCACGTAATTAAATGGGATCAATTTTATATTTTGGCTGCCTTGTCATCAAATTTAAGTAGACATCATTTGATTATCATATTTAATGAATCATCGAGAAGAAAAGTAAAAATTGACGGAAGACCAAGAAAAAAAGTTCTACCTTTTGAGTTTATAGGAGTAAAAAAAAAAAAAAACAGGGTTCTTGACAGGATTATATAAAAATACAGTAATTTTTAAAAAATTATGAAAATGTGGGGTATAAAAATTGCTGACAATTTTTTATGTAAATACAAAAATTCAGAGATAAAAAATTGAAAAATTAATAAAATGTCAACAGTCGTCATTGATTATTTTTTAAAAAATATAAAAAATCAAAGGTCACTAATAGTAATTTTTAAAATAATAATTAAATATTCAAAAAGTATCAAACAAGTAATCAAAAGTTGTCATCTGTAATTTTTGGTCAAAATACTATATTTTCATAATTTTACTAAAAATCTCATATTTTTTGAATTTAAAAAAAACGATCCATAAAAAATAAAAAACAGGGTTCTTGACACTCCCTCCAAATGAATTGTAGATCCTTCTTGACCTAGGGCTGAAAAAGTAGATGTACACAATTTAAGCACTTAACCTTGATATTACCCGACCAATCCATAAACACCCTCGGGTTGGGCATTGCCTTGACCTGTAAGCATTCATAGCCAACATAAATAGACAAAAGAGGATTGGATCGGATCACCGGCTATTAATTACATACATAGGACACACCCATCATCACTATCACGGCCCCAACATTTTCCCACTTCACTAACCCATTAAGCCAATGGCCCATGGCCGTTAGTCTTCCATTTTTAGCTAGTCTAGAGGAAATTTCTATTTATTATTTCATTAAAAATATAAATAATACATTCTTTAACACATTTTTATAATATATTTTATTATCAATTTCAAAAATCGTGTAATTTTAAACTCTATTTTAACAATTGTCACTCATATTTGTTAATAATTCATAATAAAATTCAATCAATATATAAAAAAAGATTTAAAAAATATGGTAAAGATTGTGTTGTTCCCCCTCTTAACTGATATATTATTCTTTTCACGAGGAAGAGCAAATTGTACTGAAAGCCTGTGTTGGTCATTACTCTTGACCCCATCACCGAGTTGACGTGTGATTAGAAAGGAGCAACACGCATTAACCAATCCACTTCGCAAATTAGTACCTTCCTCGCACCCATTAGAAGTCAGCAATGTCTTTCTAAGTAATAGAAAAATCATGTATGTGTCTATTTTTTATGGGGACCATGTTTAGAAATATGATAAAGAAGGAAAAGGGTTAATTATGATGCTTGGGGTTTCAATAGCTCAACTACTCAAACAAAGAGCAACCTAGAAATGGTTTTCTCATGCTCTTAAAGCCAATCTTTGTTCACACTCTTCGCCACCTCTTCTTTCACACGCCCGTCAAACTTGCATTTGACTTGGTAAACTACAAGTAGCTTCTTTGTCAAAGCGTGACCAAATAGTAGTTTGTGACGGTGCCTTCTCCTCCGACCAAATATAAATGTAAACACAATAATGCTCAATAGTTAATGAATTCATGATTGAGTGGTAAGAACTCTAAAGTACATTGCTTTTAACTTAGCCTAAACCTTAAAAGAGGGGTTACATCAAGTACATTGCTTTAACGTGTAGCCTAAAGGACAAAAAGAGAGGTTACAAAATTTTTAGGGTACTTGCACACACAGTCACATGCATTGAGCACAAACGATCCTTTTAACTTGTAATCCCTTGTGTGAGTCATACAAGGTTTGCAGGGTGGAAAATTCTCATAATAAAAAGAAAAAAATTGCAAAAAAGAAAACTATAAATGATCAATTTTACTGGCTGTTAGTTCCACAAAATTCTACACTACAGCTTAGTGTTAGATGAAATTGCTAATCTTTACACCCCAAGAGTAAACCCGTATAATTTATCAGAAAAAATCAATAAGAATAAGAAAACATTTTCTACTTTGTTTCCCTTTCTGAGGTATTGAATATCATTCAGATACAATGGAGATTGTTCCACTGGAAATGCTGACATGACTACTATCACAAAGAGCCAAAGCACGCTCCAAATTGGCCACAATGTCAGCCATTGTTGGTCTATCTTTCCCTTCCAAATTTACACAATGCATAGCAGTATATGCCACCAGCTCCACTGCTTCTGTTTCATTCAACTCTGGTGGTTCAACCCTCGGGTCCAAAATTTTCGCCAATTCGCCTGCTAAAATTGCAGGCACTGCAAAGTCTACCACACTCACTGGGGTGCCTCCATTTTCATCATTCTTGAATATAGCTCTCTTTCCTGTTAATAATTCTAACAATACCACTCCAAGCCCATAGACATCACTCTTTGCTGTTAACACATTTAGACCATAATATTCAGGATCAATGTATCCGACTGTTCCGGCTGCCTTCGTTGGCCGGTAATCGTGATCAGATTCTGGACTCATCAATGACAATCCAAAATCAGATACTCTTGCCGTCCAAGTCGCGTCAATGAGAATGTTAGAAGACTTGATATCCCTGTGAATTATAGAAGGAACTGCATAATTATGAAGATATTCAATTCCTCGCGAAGCATCCAGCGCAATTTTTATCCTCATTCTCCAAGAATTCAATACACTACTACTCTTGTCCACATTATTCTTGTCATGCAAATGATCATATAATGCCCCATTTTTCATGTACTCATACACCAAGAGTCTTTCATCCTTCTCCTCACAAAAACCAACTAGCCTAACCAAATGCTTGTGGTGTAAACGGGACAAAAAGGCCAATTCAGACTCAAATGCACTCTCTTTCTCTTGGAACTTCTTCATCTTAGTACCAGTTTCACCCCTTTTGATTGCCACCTCGCGGCCATCAGCAAGTTTGCCTCTATAAACAACACCATAGCTTCCAGCACCAATCTTGTTCTCAAGTGAGAAATTGTTGGTGGCTGCAACAAGCTCAGCCAGGGTGAACTCCTCTGCCCTATCTGGATGTTTTGTTGATGAGGTTCCACTCCGTTGGCGCCTCATTATCCTCGAGCCCTGACGCCTAATGGTGGATGATCTTGACGGTGGGCTATTATGATTAGAAGCACCACCACCGTTGAAACTGCCACCTCTTGTAATTGTTGGCTGCACAGAATTGTGAATTTTCTTCTTCCCTAAACAAACCCCAGTCCACAAGCAATAAATTGCTGTGCAAATACCAGCAACACCTCCCACTGATCCAACAATGGCAAATGCCAATAAGCCCTTTGTCAACGTCTTTGACCGGGAAGCCGGCACCGACGGAGGAGTCATCTGCGGTGGCAGTGATGGTGGTGACGGCATTTGAGGCCTACAAGGTTGTGGCTTGCAAATGCTACCAGAACCAGAACACAAAAATTGAGACTGAGGATATATACCACATTCACTACAAGAAGATTGAACACAAGGCCCTGGAAGAATAGGAGGCAAGGGAAGCTCAAAACCTGAAGCAGAATAAGAACTATTGGGCCAACCAGGACCCCAACAAATAACTGAAAAATTGTTTGTTGTCAATCCACAAGTAAAATTTGACCCAGAAACAATAACCTCAAAAGAAACACCTTTGGTAACATTAACTGAAAATAACCCTTTCCCACCCCAACAAACGACAGAACCATTAGATCTTCTAATAGCACAACTATGCTCAGCTCCAAGTGCCAAACCAGAAAACTCCAAAGCCCCTCCTTCAGGAGCATCAATTTGACCAAAACTGTTACTTCCTTTACAAACCAAAAACCCACTTGAATTCAATCCACAAACATGTGAATCCCCAGCCACGAGACTCATCATAGACATGTTTCCAAACTCACTGTCTATCCTCCTCGCAATAGACCCAATTCCCCAACACCGAACCTGATAACTACCCTTCAGAATTCCACAAGAGAAACCAGACCCAGATGAAATAGAAGCGAATTCGTCAGACCCAGAAGCCAATTCAAACGCACCGTTGGTTCTCCAACACGACGCTGTTCCGGTTCCGACAACGGTGGCACAAACCTGGGAATCCCCGACAGCAAGATTCTCGAATAGAACAGTGTCATTGTTGTAAAGCCTCTTGCTTTGGAAGGTTGAGACGGTGTCCCAACAGAGGAGGCTGTAGTTGCCGGACCTCAGGCCGCAGAAGTAGCTCCAGCCGCCGGAGATCGATGAAAACGACACGTTGGGCGCGACGGCGATGACTTGTCCGTCACGGTAGCACGCAATGCGCCGCGTCGGCTCCGATGCCACCACGCCGCAGACGGTGCCGGAAACGTCGGTGACGGCGAGGGTGGTGCCGGAGCCGATGGCATGGGATATTGGTAATAAAGAGATGAAAACGGCAACTGTGACGGTAACGGCGAAGGAGGGTGATTTTCTGTTCTTCATGTGTGTGAGAGAATGGGTTTTAACGTTGGGATTGTGGGTTGCAATCGTTTGTGCGTCATTGGCAGAGGGAGAAGAAAGTGTTTGTTTTCAGTTTTCAGTTTTCAGAGCATTTGTTGGAGACTCTGTTGTGTTGGGGACATTAGAATTTAGATAACGATAATGTGGGTTTTGATTTTGATTTTGAAGCTGAAGCTTTGAAGTTTGGCTTTTCTTTCCCCGTTTTGCTTCCTCCTTCGAAAGTTTTTCCTTCATATATGCGATTTTTTTTAATAATTTTAATTTTTCTGCCTTTTATTCTTTAAGTTTTTAATTATCTTAAATAAGGAAATTATTAAATATTTTAATATAATAAATATTTTCTTTTATTTAATATTTACTTTATAAAATAATAAAGATTTATTGAGAAGATATGAGTGTGGATATAATAAAACACATTTTTTTTATATATCAATAGTTGTTTCGAATAGTATAAACCAAATTTTTCTCATCATTGGTTTTAGAGAAAAGAAAATAAAGCTTAAATTCAAAAGAAGAAGAAGAAGAAAAAATTTTAAAAGTAAATGTTTTTATTTTTTATCTTCATCTAAATAAAAACAAAATATTATTCATTTAATTCTATCATATTATAAATAGTCTCGACTCTAGTAGGATTATTTAATCTAAAAACTATAATGATTCTGAAAAAACTATACGCATGTGACCACTATGAAAGTATACTTTTGTGAAATAAATTAAATATATGTTGGGAAAATAATATTTTTTGAAAATAATTTTGAGAATACTGTTCAGTTTTTTAACTTTTTTTTTTTTGTTTCATATATAACTTTAAGATATCCAGTAATAGTATTATCTAAATAAAGGTATGTTTTTAAACAACAATACACGTATAAAATTAATATCATTTAAAATTAAATGATTGTGTCTGTTAAAAAAAAAAAAAAAAAAAAACAGGAGCGTTGTTAAGATATTTGTACTCAAAACGCTTGAGTTTCCTTCAATAAGTTTTACTAAATAACAAAAAACCGTTATCTCAAAATAAATACGGTATCTGAAATAATTAGTATGAGCTGGCTTATGGCTTAGAATCAAATGCAAATGAAAAAATATTACAAAAAATAAATACAATTGTGAAATTAGTAATTTGACTCATCTTTAGTTACATAGTAATAGCTGTGTGTATTCTGTTTTTGATTTTTCAAAATAGAAAAACTCAGTATATGAGACTTTTACCTAATTTTGACTATCTAAAATAGCTTAGGATAATTAATTGTTTACATGCATTTTAACATTCATTTGATAATAAATTTTGAATATCTAATTTGCTGTATTAATAAAATTGCAATTACAATAAAACAGCTCTTAGAAAACCTGTGAAAATTGTTTCACCGTTTTTATGACAATTATTGCTAGGGTATTTATTAATTTAGAGAATTATGTTTGTGTTAAAACGAAGATGTAATAATGGTAAATAAATAAAATGAAACTTCCTTTTTCCTCAAAAAAATAAATAAAATACTTCCTTAAATTGCCGACAGCAAAATTAAAATTAAATGCAAAGTAATTTTTTATTAAACATTATAATATTTAATAGTATTAATATATTATTTTGTACATATGAAAAAAACTGAACATATATAGAATGGTAATTCTAATATAATTTACAAAGACGGCCAAATAATAGATTATAAAACAAATGCAAACAAAAACCTTCGGGGGAAGAAGATCGTAACTACGCACGCGGCTTGGGCTGTAGCACGTGCTCTCGATACACGTTTCCGTTAGAAGCACACGTGAGTTATGCAAATTGCTTTGACAATGGTTTTTACTTAATTAATTAAAGCTAAATCTGAGTCAATCAGATTCGATTTTCAGCTAAATAAATTAATGAGTTTTGTTTCCGTTTTAAAGTGTTACAAATTTAGAAGTTACTACTGTTGTAATGTTATCACTTCCCGTAAGTAGTTCTTTTTATAATAATTAATCATTTTAAAAGATGTGATAGTTTTTGCGATCTTCGAAATTCAAATGTGATATGTACACGCAGAAACAGATACTGGAATTAAATAACATGAATTTTGCAGAAGAGGAAAAAGTGAGAAAGGGACATTAAAACGAGAGATGAGCAGCTTTTGAACTTTGCTGGCAACTCTGGGGACTTTCTTTCAGGACCAGACAGTGAGATGTTGAATTTCTTTTCTACTTTAAAAATATATTAAAGTTATAATTAAAAAATAAATATATTAATATACCATGTCGACTTTTAGATATTTAAACAATGAAACTGTTTTAAATGTAATATGAAATGTTGTGCGAGAAAGTTATTTTTTTCCGTAATGGATTTACAGTAATTGTATAAAAAATTTATTATTAATTTGTGACTCAAATTTAAAACAAAGTTATTTTACTTTTTTAAAAAATTTAGCCATTTGAAAATTATGCATCATTGCCATTATTTCTTTTATTTTTTGTGAGGAAAGAGACTGCTTAACATAAAATCTGCTTGGCTGGTTTCCATCTTCTGATAATTTTTACGAGTTTGAAACTTGATTCCTCTTCAAAACCATAATTTCAACACCTTTTAATAAAGAATAAGTTAAGAGCGTTTAAGTTGATAAAAGTGGGATAAATATATTTCAATATAAATCATAAATTTAATTTTTGAAACCTAAAAAGATAATTTGGAAAACTGTTTGAATCGCAAAATAAAATAAAACATTTAAGCTTTTTTAAAAAAAAAATTCTTATTTGTATCTTTCTTTTTCATTCTTTTTGCCTTCCAATAAACATTTCTTAAACAATGTTTTAATAATAGAATATCATTAATCCTAGTAGGGTCTAACAACCGAAACATTAATTAAAAGACACGAGCGACTACATTCTGTGTTGAAATTGAATTTGACTGAGAATAATATATATATATATATATCCAATCAAATTTAATTAGATTGAATGTAACAAAAATTTTCAACAAATAAGATCAAATTTAGTTTGGTTTAGTTTAGGTATTGAATTTGTGCATATTTATTATTAAAATTTTAGGAATATTTTAAAGAATAATTTTTTTTAGGAAAAAAACAAATTCGTATTCTACATCTAAGTGTTTATAAAAAAAAAAAAAAAAATTGATTGGTTGAGATCAAATTTAAAATTGTATAATATAATGTCTCATTCAATGATAAATTATACTATATATGACCCATTTTAATCCCATTATTTCAACTCATATGAATATTTTGAATTTGATCAAGTTGAGTTGAATTGAATATATAATTACCCTGATCAAAGAAACAATGTCTTATGTGCATTATATATGAATAAATGTTTCTCATATATAAAGAGAAAATGATAAATGATCACTGAATATATGAATCCAATGATTTAAAATTAGTAGCAACATGTTGTTATATGGGTGGCTTGAATTTTCTTAACAATAATTTATTGTTATTTTTAAAAGGGGAAAATTTTTAATTTGGAACAAGAGAGACAGGGGACCAGTTACTAGAAAATAGTTCAGCATTCAACTCACCGAGCTATTTGCCTATTTTATAGTACATAGGAAATTCTTTGGTTTAAGTACCTCATAAATTATCATGGGAAAGAAAGAGACATGGCAATGAAACATAGGCTTTTTTTTTTTTTAATAATAAAAAAACATGGGCATTTTTTTAATTTAATGAGTAGAAAATAAGCATTCATCCATATGAAACCGAATGTGATGGATTAAAAATGTTTTTCAATATAAATATATTCTTCTTCTAGTCGTGTTTGATTTATAAGCAACAACTATTATTATTATTTTTAGAATATAAAAACAAAAATATATTTTTATATGTATTAATTATTAAATTTTTAAAATTTTATTTATTATAAAATTTATATTAATAAAATATTTTTAACATACAATATAAATTATGATATATAATCTTTTATTAATATTAATGAATTAGTTATTTATTTATTTTATTAAAAGGGACACAAGAATTGCTGTACCAATCTCCTATTCAGCTTCAATAAATTCTGAAGTTGAAATTTCCTTACCTTGCTTAATCATTAGTTACCTCAACATAAAAGAATCGTATTAGATATAAATGTCACCTGATTAATTTAAAATTAAAATTCGTGGGTTTGCAATGGATAGAATATAATCTTTTGAATTTAGCTATTGCAGAAATAAATATTGGAATTAAAGTACTTCATGCAATATATTTTCTGAATAACGATGATAAAGAAATTTAATAAGTAAACAACGATTCACATGATAATTGGGAGATGAACATAATCTTGAGCTGAAATAACTGATTAAATGAATGAATATGAAGATCAATAATCTTCTTTGTTTTTTCTCACTTAGATTCGGGTTATAGTTTCTTCTGATGTCCCAATTCTTCGGGTAATGATTGGTCCCCACATCAGTCTGTAGCTGAGCAACATCGTTAATCTAGCCACTTAAATTTCAACGCCAAGCTAAGATTGAGCACGTTCTGCCTCTAATTTTATTTATAAAAAATATAATCCATTAAAGTTAATAAAAATAAAAATTTTACATCATAAAGTTATATTTTATCATCAAAACATTTAAAATGTTAAACCATCAAACTGAATAATTATATGAATGATTAATGAATATTATAAATAATAATATAAAATTTTTATTTAAAATTTTATTTTTTATAATTAAAATAAAAAACTATGACAGTTGTTTCTTACAAATAAGATTAAAAGGTATATTACTTTAATTTTAATATTTTATGAGAGATTATTTATTTTTTATAAAATTAATAATTTGATTTTTAAATTTTATTTTTATTTAATTCTTTAATTTTCATTTATTTTATTTTTAATCTTTCAACATTTAAATGACTGTCAAATTGATCATTTTTATTAATTTTGTCCAATTCTGTCATTGATAGTTTAGTTTTACATAACACTATTTTTATTTATCTATTTAGTGAAAAAATATATATAGATATGAAATTTAATCATTTTATTATAAGCTAAAAAAATGATACTTTAATTAAGTATAATAGATGAAAAATATAATTTTATCTTTTTATAAGCATAAGGCCTTGCTTGCGTCTAAGCTCTCTCCACAAACATTTTATTCTCCAAAATATGGATGTCTATCTCTTCCTTAATTTATCTTTGATCTATATGTTTTTCTTTATTTTTTATGACACAGGAAAAATATACTAGTTCTATATTGTATTTTACCTAACAAA